AAGGAAGCAAAGCTTTGCTTAGTCTTGGGTGCTTCAGGAAGCAGGAGGACTGGGAATTCTGCAATTGGGTATTTAAAATCTTAACGAAAAGGTGAGAGGCACGGAGTAAGGCTAAAGCTGTAATTGATAAAGAAGCAGCAATCCTTCATATTAGCCAGGATAGGAAGATGTTTGAGCATTTTGTGGTTTGGGTGATGTTCATGTTTTTGTCTGTGTTCAGATATGATTCCAGAGTAGTCTTATTTTTGTCTTCATATCCTGGTGACAGAGTGACCTTGTTTGATGTTGGCATTCTTTGAAATTGTTGCATTTACGTTAGAACAGCAAGTCTGGCTGTGCATGCCAGGTCAGTTCCCGACAGTCAGGGGCTGCTTTTCTCTCTCACCCCCTGTTGTGTGGGCATTGTGCTAGATATAAAGCAGATCCTGCTGCCAGAACTTCTAGTCTAAGGGAGATGTGGAGAGAGTAAGTAAAATGAGATGAAGAGGAGAGTTGAGTGTGATGTGAGCAGTCTACGACTAGATGTATACACAGGTGTGGAGGAGCCCAGGGCCTGGCCCAGCTTGGGGTAAGCAGCCAGTCAGTGAAGGCTTCCGGAAGATCTGTTAGAGCCATGTTCTTAAGGATTGGTAGGAGCTGTCCAGGCATACATATGTGGAGAGTGGACTTTCTAAGCAGAGGGGGCATTAAGTGCGAAGGTCTGGAAAGAACAAAGTGTGGGGCAGTGAAGGAGCTGCAAGTAGATCAGTCTGGCTGGAGCTGGAAGTTAGATGTGACTGTGTAAATGATGGGAGGGGTGGGGCTGGGGAGGGGAGAAAGAGATGAGGCCGGAATGGTAAGATGGGGCCAGATTGTGAAGGATCTGCATGCCCTCATTGTAATCAAGAATTGAACTTACGGGAGTTTTCACTCTGCTCTGTGGAGAGCGAAGCTTTCCATAGGAATTGCGTATTTGCATCTTTACAATGGCTTTAAAAGCCTTAGAAGGGGTAAGTTCCTTGAATAACTTGTAAGTAGTAAAGCTGTCCTCTGTCCTCCCAACCTTGGTTTTAAGAACAGTGTATTGGAGCTTCAGTCCTGCTTCAGTGTGGCAAACGGATTGCAGGGGGCCGGACTGGAGAGAGGAGGCGGAAGGTGCTGGCCTTTCGCGTCGATCTGGGTGAGAGATGGTGTAGTCTAAGACGTTTTCAGAATTGATGCCTAGATCACAACTGTTTACTCTTTTCTGGAAACAGTGCTAATATGGTGTGACCTCGTAACCCCCTCCCAACTCCCAACTTTGTGTTTCTAGTTGATTGGTTCTAGGGGTGCAACAGATCCAGCCTGGGCAGTCAGAGCCCTTTCCTGGGACTTTTGGATCTGGGAACAAAGAATAGCCTGCTTTCTCTGGTGTTAGAGACTATCTGATTTAGGCCAGGTGCGGTGGCTCACGCCTATAATCCCAACACTTTGGGAGGCAGAGGCAGGCGGATTACTTGAGCCCAGGAGTTTGAGACCAGCCTGGGCAACATGGTGAAACCTCATTTCTAAAAAAATACAAAAATTAGCTGGGCATGGTGGTGTGCGCCTGTAGTCCCAACTAAGGAGGCTGAGGTGGGAGGATCGCTTGAGCCCCAGAAGTCAAGGCTGCAGTAAGCCATGATCGTGCTACTGCACTCCAGTCTGAGTGACAGAGTGAGACCCTGTCTCAAAAAATAAACGATCTAATTTGAGGCTGGATGGTTGTGGGAAGCCGTATTTCCCTTTGTGTAGAAGTAGTTGGTCTAGAATGAAAGTAGTTTAAGCCAGTAGAGAAAGAGAATCCTCCTGGCATTTGAGGTCCAGTGGCACCCACTCTTCCCGTAGTGTGGTTATGGGAAATAAACCAGTATCCTTCAAATACATTTTTTTGTTTTGCTTAAACTGGTTTAAATTAGTTTCTTGCAACCTTAGGGGTCTTGATTAGTATAGATGGTGTAGGCCTAAACTAAGGCACTGAGTGTGGGGTTGGGTGAGCTCACACTTTAGGGGGTAAACTAGATGAAAAATGGTAGCTGTGTGACTCAGAGGGCCATGGGTGCCTTGGTATAGTAGAGATGAGAATGGTGCTCTACATGGAAGGAGCACACTGAGCATAGGCAGGAGTGTGGAGCAGCACTGGGGGAGTGGGGTGAATTTGAGTTCTTCTGCTTGGCTGGGCTGTGGGGTGAGCTGGGGCTGATACAGAGGGAGAGCCAGATCCTGCAAGCCCTACTGAGGCCTTAGGCTTGATCCTAGAAGGAGTGGGAACAAATGAAGGTGGGCGTTGGTGATGACTGCTAATAAAAACCCTCACTGCTTTCTAATGATGGAAGCATCACATTCCAGAACATGTAGGAAATAAAGGTTTTAAAGAAAATAAAAATTACACTGATGCCCATCACCATTTCTTCTTTTTTTATTTCCAGTATTTAAACATGTATATATTTAAAATAGCTGAGATGCTGTATATATAGGTCTTAATCTTTTACCCCACTTCTGCTATCATGAGCATTTTTCTGTAACACATTTTTTGAGACATTTTGATGACTGTATATTATCCTACTTTGTGAATTTTTATAATTTTATAATTTATATAATACCCATTTCTAAGATTTTTGTTCTTAAGGATAAAATTGTTTTACTTAAAATCTTAAAATGTTGTTCATGTTTCTCATGTTTTTAGAATAATTCCTAGAAGTGAAACTATGGGATCAAATAACATCATGTTTTAAAATAAAAGTTTTTCAACCCAGGAGTATGAATTCAAGTTGCTCTGAATATATACTCCCTGAAAGTAAGGTATACTGATTTGTGGTTTACATATAATAACATTCACCCTTTTTAATGGACAGATTTGAATTTTGACAAATGAATGATTGTGTAACTGCCACCACAGTCAAGATATAGAACAGCCATTAACGCACCAGATTCTCTTGTACTCTTGTAGCCATCTCATTCCCCTGCCTTAGACCCTGGCAGCCCCGATCTTTTTTCTGCCCCTGCAGTTTTCCTTTTCCAGAATGCTATAAAAGTAGAATCATAGAGTGCGATAGTTTCTGCCCTCTGGCCCCCAGAGCTAAATTTCCTTCCCATGTCAAAACATATTCACTCCATCCCAAGGCCTCCCCAAAAGTCTCAGTTCATTTCAGCATCAACCCAAAGTCCACAGTCTCATTTAAATCTCATCATCTAAATCAGGTATGAGAGGCTCTGGGTGTAGTCCATCTGGAGGCATGATTCCTTTCCACCTGCGAAACCCAAGAAACAAGTTATCTGCTCCAACATAGAGTTGGGGAACGGGCATGGGATATCAGCTACAGACAGTCCTGTTCAAGGGTAGAGGAAAAGGAAGGAAAAAAGGATTCACCAGTCCCAAACAATTTCATTTTCATAACAGCAAAAGTTTTCAATTTTGACGAACTCTGGTCTATCAGTTTTCTTTTTTTATGCACCATGCTTTTAGTGTTATATCAAATCTTCCTTAATCTAAGGTCACTAAGGTTATCTATGTTTTCTTCTAGAAGTTTTGTACTTTCAGACATTATATTGAGGTGAATTTTGAGTTAGCACCTGTGTGTGGTAAAAAGTATGGATTGAGGTTTGTTTATTTGCATTTGGATGTCCAGTAATAAAATTTCTACTCCTTTGAAACTTAAAGTGTAGTTATGGTAGACAGACAGTCAGCGAACAATATGTCATTTTTTGGATGATGGCAAGTGCTACGGAGAGTGGTGAAAGCAGGGCAAAGGGTTGAGAGTGCAGGGTGACAGTGAAGCCTGTGTGGGGTTGGTACCCTGACATCCCACATCAGGTGAGACTTTCTAACCAGGTGACCTGACGGAGGTCAGGGGGTGAGCCATGTGCGTGTCCTGTGGAAGAGAATTTTAGGCAGACAGAAAAGTAGCACAGAGGCCTGGAGAGGTGGGACAGGTGCTCAGCGTGGCCAGGCAGCCAGGAGGGTGAGAAGGAGTGGTAGGAGCTACAGTCACAGGTGTAACACAGGTGAGAGGCTTGCCACTTAGAGTTATCTTGGCCAAGGTAAAAACATTTGATTTTTTCTTGAGCACTCTGAGAAGCCCTTAGAGGGCTTCGAATAAAAGAGGTCATGCTCTGACTCAGTACTGCCCACATTGTGGTTCTTCCTCAGTGGTGTCAGTGTCACAGGGAGCTGGATAAAGATGCAGAGTAAGGGACCCCACTCAGACCTGCTGAGTCAGAATCTCTGACGGTGGGGCCCAGGAATCTGCTTTAAAAGCTCTTCAAGTGATTCTGATATATGTTAAAGTTTTAAAAAAAGTAATATAATTTTAATTGACAAATTGTATATATTTATGGGGTACAATGTGATGTTTTGATACATGTATCCATTGTAGAATGATCAAATGAGGCTAATTAACATATTCATCACCTCACATACTTAATTATTTATTGGCAGTGAGACCATTTAAAATCCACTCTTCCAGGTCAAGTGGAGGCAGGGAGGCCAGTTAGGAAGTGATGACAGTGGTGCAGGTGAGTCACGGTGGCTCGTCCAGGGTGGCGGTGATGGAAGTGGTGAGTAGTAGTCAGATGTGAAATGTGTTTTATAAGTAGAGCCAAAAGGATCTGCTAATAGATTGAGTGTAGGATGTAAGAGGAAGAGGTAAGTCGTGAACATTTCCAAGGTTTCTGGCCTTGGAAGAATGGACCTGCAGCTGCAGTTTACTGGGATGGTGACAGCAGGAGGAGCAGGGAAGCATTTTAGAGTGGTGATGAGGAGGGTTTGGGGGTGGATCTGGAGTTTGGTGTTTGGATAAGTTAAGATGGAGGTGAGCATGAACCTAAGAGACATCTTGGCAGCTTTTTGACACCTGAGCTATGGGAGCCGTCGGAAGCTGTGTCTTCACTTCTGCCACTGGAGGTGTCCTTGGATGTGGTTAATGTTAAGAAGGATATTGTATTTAATAGTAACTTAATTTTTTTCTGATTGTAAATTATATGTATTTTGTCTATTTTAACAGGTATTCAAATAAAGTTAACTGCAGCTTTCTGTGAAAATGTCAGTTTTGATATCACAGAGCGTAATAAATTATGTAGAGGAAGAAAACATCCCTGCTCTGAAAGCTCTTCTTGAAAAATGCAAAGACGTGGATGAGAGAAATGAGGTAAGACCAAGTTTGCAAAATTACATTCTTTCACAAATATTTGTTGACTACCTACTACGTATAGGATGGAAGTGTGTGAGAAATAGGTAGTTCTAACCCTTAGTAATATTGCACTATACTTATGATATAATGTCTTATAGTTAAAAGTACTTCAAATCCATGTTTTTGGAGTACATTTTAACTTACATAAATGATTGACTATTGAATTTAGATTTATTGATTTTTTTTCCACTGATGGAATAATTAATATTCAGGAAGCTTGATTACTGAAATCACGTACTTCTATGAAACTTTAGAGATCATCTGGACCTGATCTTGATTAACCAGACAAAATCAGGGATTGTTGAAATACTTTCTTTAATGAGCCCCCACTATCTTCCTCCATTGTTTGTCCCACACACCGTGGGATTTTAAAAACCCTACATCTTTATTAGAGAGTTAAATAGGTTAGGTATTATATTTAGTAACAGATTAATAAACATTAACTGAAATGAGATGTTTCTCCTCAATGTTCTGAGTTAGAAAATGTGGATCTTAGTTCATTATGAAAAGCCAAGCTATTATTATTATTATTATTTGAGACGAAGTCTTGCTCTGTCACCCAGGCTGGAGTGCAGTGGCGCGATCTCGGCTCACTGCAAGCTCCGCCTCCTGGGTTCATGCCATTCTCCTGCCTCAGCCTCCCGAGTAGCTGGGACTGCAGGTGCCCGCCACCTCTCCTGGCTAATTTTTTTTTTTAGGGGAGACGAGGTTTCACCGTGTTAGCCAGGTTGAGTCTCCATCTCCTGACCTCGTGATCCACCCGCCTCAGCCTCCTAAGTGCTGGGATTGCAGGTGTGAGCCACCATGCCCGGCCAGCCAAGCTATATTATTTGGCAGGACATTTTAGGTGCTAATACAGTTTTGTGTAAATTTTGTGAGTGTCAGGGTATGTGTTTGTTGTACAAAACTGAAGGAAAACAACCCTGTCTCTTAGAACTGCATGTGTTTTCAAGAGTATAATATCTCTTGCCAGTAGATAAGATGAATAAGGAGTGACTTTTTATTTTACACTATATATGTATGTATCTATACTTATGTGTTTGTATATATTTGCTTACATATATATCTTGTGTAGACATATAAAAATTTTTATTTATTTTTTATTGTGATAAACACATAATATAAAATTTTACGTCTTTACCATCTTAACCATTTTTAAGGATACAGTTTAGGAGTATTAAGTATTTCTCCATTGTTGGGCAATAGAGTCCAGAACTTTTTCTGTTTTTTATTTTTTTATTTTTTTTGAGACGGAGTTTTGCTGTCGCCCAGGCTGGAGTGAAGTAGTGTGATCTCAGCTCACTGCAACCTCCGTCCCCTGAGTTCAAGTGATTCTCGTGCCTCAGCCTCCTAACTGGGACTACAGTTGTGTGCTACCACACCTGGCTAATTTTTTGTATTTTTAGTAGATATGGGGTTTCACCATGTTGGTCAGGCTGGTCTTGAACTCCTGACCTCAAGTGATTCGCCCGCCTTGGCCTTCCAAAAGTGCTGCGATTACAGGCGTGACCACTCCGTCCAGCCTACCAGAACTTTTTCATCTTGCAAAATCAAAATTCTGTCTATTAAACAATGGCTCTGCCTTTCTCCCTCTCCCTAAACCCTGGCAGTGACCATTTTACTTTCTATTTGTATGAATATGACTATTTAGACACCTCATATAATTGGACTTACATACTGTTTGTCTTTTTGTGACTGGCTTATTTCAGTTAGCAAAATATCCTCAAGGTTCATTCACGTTATAGCACGTACAGGATTTCCTTCCTTTTAAGGCTGAATAATATTTCATTGTATGTACGTAGCACATTTCTGTGGCTAGAAATTTGGGTTGCTTCCATCCGTTGGTTATTGTGAATAATGCTGCTATAAACACGAGTGTGCAAATATTATACATGTTTTTGCTTTTGTTTTTTGTTTTTAGACAGAATCTCACTGCATTGCCCAGGCTGGAGTGCAGTGGCAGAATCAGGGGTCACTGCAGCCTTGACCTCTCAGGCTTAAGCGATCCTTCTGCTTCAGCCCCCCAAGTAGCTGGGACACAGGTGTGCACCACCATATCTGGCTAACTTTTTGTATTTTAGCTGAGATGGGGTTTTGCCATGTTGCCCAGGCTGGTCTTGAACTCCTTGACTCAATCTGTCTGCCCGCCTCAGCCTCCCAAAGTGCTGGGATTACAGGCATGAGGCATCATGCCTGACGTATAAAGGTTTTTAAAGCTGCTAAATTGACTTAGTAATTACTTCATTATTACTTTTTCTGACTTGTGGTACCTAATTTCATTTAATGTTAACTCAGTTGTTAAGGAAATGTTGATATAAAAATGTTGTTATTACAATTATATTATGCTAGCTAATGTTTTTATTGAATACTTATGCAAATATTCTGGTATATATTTTCTATATCTTAGCTCATTTAACTTGCATAGCAGCTGTGTAAAGATTAATACTGTTATTTATCTTTATTTATGAGTAAATGACTGAATTACTCAGTTTCCTATCCAATGTATTATTTGGTAGAGTTCATATTTGAACTTTGCTCAATTTGACTTTAAACAGATTATAATCTGTTTAAGCTCTATGTTTTTTCTTTGAGTTTTCATAATAAAGTTTATTTAATGATAATGCCTATGTTTTCAATGTTTCTATATTGAACAAAATATATTTTCATTAGTTAACATCATTACCCCCTTCTATGATAATGAATAGTCAAAAATTGTTATACATAGATAAGATACTTATGATTGGAGGTTAATTGTTATAAAATTATTACAGAAGTAGTCATTTTGTTAGCATATGTTAGCGTATTTGGAATAACCATACGATAGTTTGAAAACATTAAATTTACTTCAGAGACACTTGTCTAGGGAATGCTGAGAAAACAGCTTCACTCGGAAGGAAAAGATAGCACATCAGTAAGCGTAAAATTAATCTTATTGCTATAAGGAGTAAAGCACAGTGGCATAGAGCTTAGTTTAGCATCATGCGAGATAAGCATTTAATGGATATTAACATATCCAGTTTAATATTGTATCAATTTAAATTGGAGTTTTAAAGTGATAATTTGAAACCACCTAGGCTTGTCCAGTTATGGCTCAGTGTAAAAGCTGGTTTCTTTTTTTTTTTTTTTTTTTTTAGCATTTTGCTTTTACAACTTCTGATAAAATGTAATTTTAATAGAATTACAAAAAGTTGTTTGTATTTTTTCCCCTTTTCTCTCGTTTTATTTTTATGTAACTTCATGTTAATGTGTTTTGGTTATCAGTTTTGAGAAAGATTCTTAAGTATTAGATCAATTAAAATAATGTGGGTAGGCTGTATGCAGTGGCTCACACCTGTAATCCCAGCACTTTGAGAGGCTGAGTCTCTTGAGCCTAGGAGTTTGAGACCAGCCCGGGCACTGTAGTGAGACCCTACTTCTAAAAAAATTAGCTATGTGTGGCACCTTTTAGACCTAGCTACTTGGGAGGCTGAGGTGGGAGGATCGCTTGACCCCAGGAGTTCAAGGCTGCAGTGAGCTATGATTGCACCACTACACTCCAGCCTGGGTGACAGACTGAGACCCTATCTCTAAGAAATATAAAATAAACAAATTTAAAAAGGGGTAAAATTGCCTGATACTGTGTTTATTAGCACATAATTGGCCACAAACAGTGAATTCTAGTTTCTTTTTATTGGTTTATTTATAAACTAGATACATCTTTGGCCTATGAATATTTTCAGTGATGGCAAATCTTTGTCCTTTGTAGAGTAGCGAAACATTTTTATTTTTATTTTATTTTTGAAAGGAACAAACAGTCACTCTCGGGTCTCCTTGGTATAAGGGAATAGTGTTGAGGGTGGTCATTTTTCTCCTGTTGAAGAAAATGAACTGAGACTTTAAGCAATGGAATTTGCTATATGTTTATGAGTAAACTTTATTTTATTTTATTTTTTTGAGACAGGATCTTGCTCTGTTGCCCAGACTGGAGTGTAATGGCATGATCCAGCTCACTGCAGCCTTGACATGCTGGGCTTAAGCAATCCTCCCATCTCAGCCACCCGAGTAGCTAGGACTACAGGTGTGTGCTACCACGCCTGGCTCATTAAAAATTTTTTTTTTTTTTTTTGTAGAGATGAAGTTTCACAATGTTGCCCAGGCTATTCTCCAACTGCTGGGCTCAAGTGATCCTCCTGCCTCAGCCTCCCAAAGTGCTAGGATTACAGGCATGAGAGTCACTTGCCTGGTCTGTAAATAGACTTTAAAGGAAATTTCAAAGGAGGATTTCAAAATATTTTAGTTTCACTATAGTTATTGGAAGAAGTAGAAACCCTCCAGAAGGACTGCTTTAAAAAAAAAAAACAAAAAACCATGGTTATTTAGGTTTCATGCACTTAAATAAGTAGAAATGGGAACCTGGAAATTGGGAAGAGCAAAAAGATGCTTGAATAGTAGCTGTTTTTGCATTGTAGTCTTCTGGGAAGCTGAGCTAAAGTCCAGTATTTCAGTAGGTGCATAGTGTTCTGTTTTGTTTTTGGTGTGTTTTGGCTTGAGGTCACTATAAGTAGTAGAGCAGGGTTTATGTGGGTTATGTAATCCTGTGTTTTCTGGAAGGAGATAGGCATGGAATTTGCTGGGATGTGTAGGGTCAGGTATGGAAAGGATCTTTATTGATTCATTTTCAAGTAGAAAAATGAAAGTTCTCGTGATATAAGTTACTCTCTCTCTACAACTGTAGTTACTGGACTGGTTAAGCAAGAACTAGGAGAATCCAAAGATAGGCTTTGTTTTCAGGCCGAACTTTTAAAGTAACAATCATTCTATTTTTGGGGATCCTGTAAAACTTTATGGCAGCCTTTCCTGAAAGTCATTATCTTTTTGGATAGTGTAGATACAAAAGGTGCATCAGTTAAGAATTGCTTTGTACTGCATGGAACAGCTCTCAAAACAGTGATTTAGACAAATTAAGGTTTTGTTTTTCTGTCATTATGACAAGCTAGATGAGCCATTTCAAGGCTAATATGATGGCTTCAGGATATCCTCAAGAACCCAGGCTCCTTCCTTTCTCTCCAGTCCTCACTGTGTACCTATTGCATCACATCCGTCATGTTCAAAAGCTCCAGCACTGTGTCTCAGTTCGGCCAAGAAGAAGGAAAAGGCACAGACCAGCAGAATTAGTCCCTGACAGCTTTCCTGGGAGAGCTAGCCAGGGCACCACTGTGGGATTATTTCCAGCTGCAAGTGAGGCTGAACACTGGGTGTTTTTTTTCCAGCTGAGCTCATTGCCACCACCAACAAGCCCTGTCTTTCTACATGCTGGGTAGACAACTAATAGTTTCTGCAAGAAAAGAGAATGACAGTTCAAGTCTTTCATCTGGCATGTTTCTAGGCTATCAAATTTATACCATCTTTCCTACTTGTGTTGTATGTATTTGTGACATTTATATTATGTTATATATTTATAACATTTATATTATTAAAACATTTATATTATGTTTTTCTCTCATTATCTAGAAACACTTATCTATGTGAACATCTGAAATGTAACTGTGACCCAGAGAGTAAACAGAAAACTTCCCTGAGTCTTTGGAATTATAATTTTGAAAACTGTGATGTAAAATTGATGTATCCTCAGGACTGTGGATTTAGAGTCTATTGCTTTAATTTATACATTTTACCAATGACTTCTATACCTGACTTTGTGTCCCAGTAGATTAGAAGGGAGAACAGTTCTATAGAATGTATACCAAAGAACCTAGAGCTGACAGAGGCATGCATGGCAAAGTAATTGATGTTGGTAGTTAGACTCAGAATTATAAATGTAATGTTTCAGGTAATCTGTTTAACAAGTAGCCGTACGTGCATAGCTTTTTAGAATGATGATTATCATAAAAGTTATAATCAGCTTTAATGTTGAGAAGATAAATTGTTTCACCCAGAAAATCTATTTACGTGTAATGCGTCATTCCCTAATGACCATGGTTGGATGACATGTGGCTACCACATATAATTTAGCATCCATCCTTACAGAGGAATGTCTGTATTTAATGTGACCGATATTTGAACTTTAAACCAGTGTTTGTGTTTAAATCCTTACTTGTATTATTCTTATAACAGCATCTGTTGTATTTTGCTAATCATTATAACTGTTTGCTTATTTGGATTTTATGCCTAATAGAATTTTAAATTCTTTGAGACTTTGCTCACTCGTTTACTCAGCAAATATTTGGATACCTGTGTAGCAGTCACTGTCCCTCACACTGGGCATATAGTTTTAAACCCATAAGCAAAACAGACATGTTTCCCGGCCTTTAGGGGAGACAGAAATGATCAGTTGTTAATCACACAAGAAAAATGTGGTTACAAACGAGGATTAGTATAGGAGAAGTAAATTATAGGGGAGCAGTAAGGAGGTGGGAATGAGCAGGAGGGCACGTTGAGGCTGGAGGTGGCACAGACTGGGTCAAGAGCCAGGCACATGCCCTGCTCCACATCACTCAGGGTTTGTGTCAGCATGGGTAAGGATGTTGGTTCTTATCCAAAAGAACTATGGGAAAACATCGAAGGGTTTTAAGCCGAGGAATAATGTCAGGTGGGCATTTAAAAGAATCATAGATATTTCCCCCCATACTAATATGCATGTAGTAAGTAGGTGTTTAAGTGTTTACATAATTAAACTTAATTTTTGGTGTACATTTTTCTCATATGCCTTAGTGTGTCTTAGTACCTTTAGTATCATCACTCTTTAACCTGGTACTTCCTTTTTTGAAAAATTTTAATTTTAATTTTTTTTTGAGACATGTCTTGCTGTGTCACCCAGGCTGGAGTGCAGTGGTACGATCTTGGCTCACTGCAACCTTTGCCTCCCAGGTTCCAGCAATTCTCGTGTCTCAGCCTCCCAGGTAGCTGGGATTACAGATGTGTGCTACCATGTCTGGCTAATTTTTTGTATTTTTAGTAGAGATGGAGTTTCACTATGTTGGTCAGGCTGGTCTTGAACTCCTGGCCTCACGTGATCGGTTCACCTTGGCCTCCCAAAGTGCTGGGATTACAGGCTTGAGCCACTGCGCCCGGCCTAACCTGGTACTTGCCAATCTGTTTCCTGTCATGGCACTTACAGAAAATGATAACTTTTGACTGCACTTGCAGTAGATGAGGCTTACTGGTAGGGGTGACTTGTCCAGGTACCTAGCTGCGTGAGCCCTGCCCTTGTCTCCAGGGCTGAGGGAGCATCATCTCTGTACTCCTGTGACTCATTCTTAACCCGAAGGCTGGGACACTGATTTCACTAGTAGGAGCTTTATTTAGTTTAGTGAACTAAGTTTCTAAGAGAAGGCTTTAAAAAAACTACATATGTGTATTATACATAGCACCTGGTTGTTTTTATTCATTATTTTACTTCTCTTCTTATGGTCCTATTTCAGACAAAACATCTATATGTAATTAAAAACACATTCTAGATCGTATTCTACCTGTATTGTTAGAGAATTTGGCTACCATAAGTATTCTGAAATTTTATGTATATTTCAGTAATTGCATTCCAAATCCTAGTGTTATTCATATTTACTTGCTTTAAATGAATTTGCAGGGCCAAAAACAGATTGTTAATACTGTGGGAAGAAAAATTATGTTTTATTTTTTCTTTGACTTTTAAATTACTACTAAACTGCAACTTAAAGTTCAAAGCTATTTCTGAATTAAATATAGTAAACACAACTAACCAATGCTTAACATACATTCATGAAAATGTTTGGTATATTTAACTGTGGTGTTTTAGTAAAAGTAGCATATCTTGATAAGTTCCCTGTGTCCTTTATATTTTCTAGTGTGGCCAGACTCCACTGATGATAGCTGCTGAACAAGGCAATCTGGAAATAGTGAAGGAATTAATTAAGAATGGAGCTAACTGCAATCTGGAAGATTTGGTATATATTAATTTACTCATCATTTGCTCACTCTTTTCTTTGCTGTGTTTTTTGTTTTTCAGAGGTGATTCAAAAGTAATAATTAAAACTTTTACATATATTTCAACTTTGCCTAGTGGGCTGTATCAGTGTTTTTTTTAAAGGAGTAATACAGGAGAGAAATTTTTACTTTCAATGAAGGATCTCAGCTCTTTGGTTTTTGTATATGGATGAGACTGGCTGAATAGAGAGCATGTGTACATACAGTTAAATGTCCGCCCAGAAGATATCCACATATGAGTCATGTTAAATAACTCCCTATAATGGTAACTTATTATAAATATCATTACATATGATAATGGCCAGGAATGTATGGTCCCTTCTGATACCACCTCTGAGGGGTAAATCGACATTCCACACGGTTACATTTCCTCTGATTCTCCCTGTATTTTTGGAATTGCTTTTGAGGGTCACACGGCCACATCTGTTTTGTTTCTTAATTGAATGATTACAGTTAGGAATAAAAGTTAACATAGGATGCTTATATCCTTTATTTAAAAAATAAAGGAGAATAGTTCTTTTCTTTATCACATTGTATCTAAACATTTGAGATCTCTGTAGTCTAGTAGCCTGTTAATGTGCTTTTAAATCTGATTTCAGTCTCTTTAATTTGAATTTAAATTATAGTCATGGTGGCTAGCCATGAGGATTAGCTTTGAGGTTTTGATGATCATCTTTTCTCATTTTTAAAAAGCACAGTATATGATTAGAAGCCCAGTGAGAAGACTGAACAAGCGGTTATAAAACCATGTTTACCCCATTCTTAGTGATGCAAGTGGACAAATGGATTCTTAAGAGAGCTTCAGTGTGACTGTAGAGTAGTTTAGTTAGCATGGGTCACATCATGTCAACTTGGTATGATCATTTGGTATGTAAGGTGAAATTTAGTTTTCCTTACTTTGAAGTGTTATTTTTGGTTTGAAATGATAACTTTTAAAATATGTGTTCAAGGATAATTGGACAGCACTTATATCCGCATCGAAAGAAGGGCATGTACACATCGTAGAGGAACTGCTGAAATGTGGGGTTAACCTGGAGCACCGTGATATGGTATGGACATTTTTATATGTTCTTCAGTAGCTGAAATCTTGTTTATAATCATAGATATGTGTGAAATCTTGTATTTTTATGTGTGAAATGATATTATTATAATGTTTTTAGAATTTGGGGTTGGACATTGAAATGACCCTCAAGAATGTTTTAAAACCCAGGTGTTATACTATACCTCATAGTACATTCTTAGTCATTTTTCGTTTATTTCAGAGTTTAAAATTCTGACATATTGTTACAAATAACTCATTACTCTTTAATATATCAACGTTTTGGATCTTCTGAGACAGTTGTTTCCTTTAGGTAGGACTTTAGGAGGGACAGCATTTGGTTTTAAAACTATTACCAGGTATTCAAAGTTACACTTTTCAGAATAATATTTTTAGATTTATTTTTAAAATGTGATTATTTTCAGACATGCTATCTGTGCATGACAGAAGTTTAACAAGATGTGATCCTTAATTATTACTTAGCTCTTACTTGAGCTTGGCATCTGGTTAAAGCATAAGGTGAAGAGAGAGGTCATTTCTGGCTAATTCTGTAAAATGTTCAGCCCTTTTAAAAGGTGATTTAAACAGTAGAAGAAAGGAAGAAAATGATCTGCTGTGATATATAAAATATTTATTACTTAGCTGATGATGGTTTTTGAAGTACAGATGGTCTGAGTTTTTAAGAAGCCTTAGCATTTCACCATTTTGCACTTAATAACACATTAAAATTTCACAGTAGTTCAACCTGTATAATCTTATATTTGTTCTCAAAACTAAGTGCTATGGGTGGTATCCTTATTTTTATAGGAAGATACAGGGAACCGCTGGTATCTTATGTATTTCCAAAAAGAATTTAAGTACGTTGCAGTGAAAGTTTAGGGAGAGAAGATAATGATGTCAGTAACTGAGGCAAAGATGGATATGACATCTGAGAGTGAAGTGTGGTTCTTGCCTTGTTGGTACGAAAGGTAGAAGGGAAATGCAGGGAGTTATCGAGTTCTCAATACTTTATTAAAGGTACCTTACCAGATTATCAGATGGGTTAATGACACAGCAGCTGTAAAGCGCCTAAAGAGACCAGGTGTGGAATAGGTACCATACCAATAGGTACTATACCAGTAGGTAGCTATTCCATGCCTGGCCTCGTTAGGTGCTTTATAGCTGCTGTGTCATTTAACTGACTTCTTAGAACAATCCTATGGACTAAGGGTAGATTTTATTCTCAATGTATAATTGAGGAAATTGAGACTGGAAGAGGTGAATCTTTATCCTAGGTCACGCAGCTAGTAAGCACTTAGGCTGGGTTTTGAATCAGGTCTCCCTGCTCCAAAGGCTTTCTCCTCTATCATTGTTTTACATATATCAGCAAGGGAATTAGGAACAATAAAATATACATTATGAATGTGTAAAAGTGCATTAAGATTTGTAAAAACTGATTTCTTAAGCTTTTTTGGTTCTCCCTATTTCTTCAAAGTGATGACCAGGAAACCTTTAACATTTAAAGGGTCTTTATTTTGGCTTTAAAACACTGAAAATTAGGGAAACTGAGGACCTTGTCTCTCTTAGTAACCAGTATTGTGGGACCTTAACCTCAAAGGATTGGGTGGGTGGGCAGTAGTAACTACCAAGTTGAGGGAAGACAGAGTCCCTGGGACTTGTTTAAGGAAAGGAGAGTGACCACTGAGGTCCTGTGGGGCTCAGGAAGGATTCCAGGATTAATATCAGAAGTCTAGTGGGGACTCTTCCTGTGAGGACCTTTACTGGCACCATAGTAAAGAAAGAGTTCATGAAATATAAAGCTATACTATAGTTAATTCATCTCAATCTTTTGCCAATTTAGCTTCATTTTCTTGAGATTAAAATTTTATCTCGTAGTTTCTTACGTAGGGGGCCAGAGGGACATTATTCTTTTTTTTTTTTTTTTTTTTTTTTCCCTGAGACGGAGTCTCGCTCTTTGCCCAGTCTGGAGCACAGTGGCACGATCTTGGCTCACTGCAACCTCTGCCTCCCAGGTTCAAGCAATTCTTCTGCCTCAGCCTCCTAAGGAGCTGGGATTACAGGTATGTGCCACCACGCCTGGCTCACTTTTTGTGTTTTTAGTAGAGACAGGATTTCACCATGTTGGCCAGGCTGTTGTTAAACTCCTGACCTCAAGTGATCCTCCTGCCTAGGCCTCATTTTTTTTTTTTTTTTTTTTTTGAGACAGGGTCTCTGTCACCCAGGCTGGAGTGCAATGGCGCGATCTCGGCTCACTACAACCTCCGTCCCCCAGGCTTGAGTGGTCCTCCCACCTCAGCCCTCCTTGTAGCTGGAACTACAGATGCACACCACCATGGCTGGCTAATTTTTGTATTTTTTGTAGAGTCAGGGTTTTGCCATGTTGCCCAGGCTAGTCTTGAACTCCTGAGCTCAAGTGATCTGCCTGTCTCAGCCTCCCAAAGTGCTGGCATTACAGGCGTGAGCCACCATGCCCAGCTGGGACATTATTCAAATTGAAGTGAGGGCATGATGATAAAAAGTTCTGGGCAAGGCTGGGTGCGGTGGCTCATGCCTGTAATCCCAGCACTTTGGGAGGCGGAGGTGGGCAGGTCCCGCGGTCAGGAGATCTAGACCATCCTGGCTAACATGGTGAAACCCTGTCTGTACTAAAAATACCAAAAAATTAGCTGGGCGTGGTGGCTGCCTGTAGTCCCAGCTACTCGGGAGGCTGAGGCAGGAGAATGGCGTGAACCCGGGAGGCAGAGCTTGCAGTGAGCTGAGATTGCACCACTGCCCTCCAGCCTGGGCGACAAGTGAGACTCTGTCTCAAAAAAAAAAAAAAAAAAAAAAGTTCTGGGCAAGTATTTTACAAGTTAAAATATAGATGTAAGACTTTACTTGACCAAATGCCCAGCTCTGTAATTGACCTAAATACGTTGTGTCTTTCACGGCCTTGACACTTTAGAAGAGTACTCATCAGTAATTTTAGGATGTTCCTCAGTTTGGATTTGTAGATGTTTCTCGTGTTCACATGCAGATGTGCTTTAGAGGGAAGGATGTCCCAGAGGCGATGTGCTTTTCTTGGTGTACCTCCTGGGGGAAGGTGATTTCAGTTGGTGTCACTGGTGATGTCAGCCTTCATCTCTTGATTAGGGTAGTGTCTGTTACTGTAAGGGTACTATTTTTCCGTTTGTAATTACTTAATATTTGGGGGAAGATACTTTGAGACTAAACAAAATACCTTTCTTCTGACTAAACTTTCACCTATTTGATTTAGCATTCATCAGTGAATCTTACCTGCAACAGTTACTACCATAACTGTGGTGGTGTAATGATGATTTTCTGCTGCCCTCATATGTTCTGCATTAATTAATTAGAATTCTTCTGTAAGGAAGAGTGCCTGCTTCCCTTCCCCACACCCTACTCTGTCTGTCCTCTGTCTGTCCATCCATCCATCCATTCATCCATTCATCTATATATCTATCTATATCTTTCTATTTCAGTATGGACTTATAAATATTTATTCCTTGGGTTATAGTCCAGTACTAATATTACTGCTCAAGTTATTCCAACTTTATCCATTAGAAGCTCTTTCAGGCTGGCTCTGTGCCCTTTTAAGATGCTCCATACTTAAAAAGAAATTCCTTAGTAAGATTTGATTACATTGGTCTTTTTTTATTGAATTGTATCATAGTTAAGGAGAAAATTGCTCCTGTAGCTTAGTAAGTAGAACATCATCAAGTGTGGTGTTAATTCATACCCGATGACCTTGCCTACATCTGGAAATCCTGATCATGGATGAGATGCCTTAGCATCCTCTCTCTTTTAGCAAGAGGTACTATAATAATCTGGGGTTTAAAGGATGTGTTTAAATGCAGGAGTTGAATATGATTGTTAGAATCTCTCTCTGGATAAAGTTTAAATTCATATAAAGAAGTGAATATCTAGGAACATAGAAAGTTTTCTGAAGAAAAACATTTTTTTTTCCTGAGATGGAGTCTCGCACTGTCGCCTGGGCTGGAGTGCAGTGGCACAATCTCGGCTTACTGCAACCTCCGCCTCCCAGGTTCAAGTGGGTCTTCTGCCTCAGCCTCCCAAGTAGCTGGGACTACAGGTGCACGCCATCTTGCCCGGCTAATTTTTGTATTCTTTTAGTAGAGATGGAGTTTCACCATATTGGCCAGGCTGGTCTCAAACTTCTGAGCTCATGATCCGCCTGCCTTGGCCTCCCAAAGTGCTGGGATTACAGGCATGAGCCACCACGCCCAGCCTGAAGAAATATTTTTAGACAGCCAAAATAAATCTTAGAAATTTGGAAGAGTTCATAACGAATGTTCTCTAATTCAGGTTTCGTTATAGAGTATAAACTTTAGACTAACCATATGTGGATGCAAGAGATTTGACTTACTTCATGTACTATTGTATTTGGGGAGCCTGGGAATTTAAACCTATATAATACTACCATCATGAAACAATGGTTTATAAAGATATTTACTAAAGAAATTTCATTAGTGACATTTTTTATACTCAGAGATGATCTAACGTTTGATTCCCTTACCCCTACTTTTTTTCTTTAGGGAGGATGGACAGCTCTCATGTGGGCATGTTACAAAGGCCGTACTGATGTAGTAGATTTGCTTCTTTCTCATGGTGCCAATCCAAGTGTCACTGGTCTGGTAAGCATTAACAAACAAAGTTGTTTGTATTATAAGTGGTAAGTTTTCTTAGGAAATACTTAAGGTTGATTATACTTGGCTTCATTGTGGGTAGAAATATTCTTTATCTTATTAAACATAATGTAGAATATGATTTCAAAACACACAGTAATGAGAATTTTTATCTAAAGCTACGTTTATTTTTCAATTGTCAGCAAAAAGGCAGCTCTTAGAGCTTAAATGTTAATTATAACTATATAACATTGCAAAAGGAAATTTTGAAATCTTTAGTCATCTTCCTGTTTTCTGTGTGAATCCTTAATCTGAACTTATTTAAAGAAAAGAGACATTTACCAAATAATCATGCTGTTTTTCTATACATTCTGTTATATATATTTACATTCCTCTTATTTCGCTTTCTTCTTAATAGTGTTGCCTTTTGACCAGATAACCACATTTTAAGGTGTTGAATTTACAAAAATAAATGTGTTCATAATATATGTTTATTTAAGATTTGTTATATCTTAGTTGCCAATTATGTATTACGAGTATTTCATCTGTTTTTAAAATGGAGAATGGTTTGTAATCTGATTAAAAGAACATTGCTTTGTGTTACTTCCTTTGATATTTACTTTACTTAGCAAATGTGTGTTGTAAATATCTACCTAAAAGATTTTATTTTTCCTTCCCTCCCTCCCTCCTTGCTTGCTTTCTTTCCTTCCTTCCTGCTTATCTACCTACCTACCTACCTACCAATCTATCCTAGCAGTACAGTGTTTACCCCATCATTTGGGCAGCAGGGAGAGGACATGCAGATATAGTGCATCTTTTACTGCAAAATGGTGCTAAAGTCAACTGCTCTGATAAGGTAGGTCAGCAGCATCATTCCAGGTTCCAGTCCATGTTGTGTCCACTCAGTGTCTAAGTTATAAACATTTTTATATGATTTCATGAGGCTTCTCTAATGTAGTTTATATTTTTGTATATTAATGTATTTTATATAGATATAGATCTCATAGATGGATTCCCTGGGTGTATTATGTAGTAAGTATCCTTCTGATGTTTTCTTACGTCACATTCATCATTCCCAAGAAAACTGACTGGGATGATAGAGTCCCTGTCTTCATTGTTTGAAGTTTTCGATTGTAACTCTTCTTCCTACCTTCAGTCCTATCTGCTTTCTCTGTATTGTTGTGTGAGAGATCTTTCTAAAATTGAAGTTTGGTTATCTTTCTCTTGGGCTTAAATTCCTGAAGACCGTCTCTGGTATGGTGGGTGAAGATGGGCCTTGCCTTCCTTTTTCCCCTTCTCTTGCTGCTTGTCCCCCACGCTTCCTCACATGCCAGCCACCAAATGACCCATGGTCCAGGGCTCCTTTGCAGTGTGCTCGCCTCTTCCTCCTCAGCTTCTCTTCATCTCTGAGGCTCTGCCTATTTGCCATCACCTCCAGAAAGCATTCCAGAATGATGTGCTATTTTTTTTTTTTTAATACTTAACACTTACCTCAATTATTGCATAAATACTTACCTAATTATCTTTTTTTTCTTCTTTACTTTTGGAAAGCTTCATTGGCTTTCACTGTTTGGGGATAAAACCCAGGCTTTTCAGTTTGGCTTCAGCCTGTCTCTGAGGCTCACTTCTTGTCATTTCTTTACATATATGCTGTGTTTTAGATACAACAGATTGTCTAACGTTCTGTGAACGTTGTTTCTGTGTTTATTCTGTTCCCTCTGCTAGGCATGCTATTACTTCCTCTGCCTGATGAACTCCTGTTTATTTCTCAAGGCTTATTTGAGGTGTTAGCTTCTTTGTTAAGTCTTCTTACCCTGGGTGCCCCTTCCTGGGTACTCTGCACATTTCCATTAGGGCACATAACCTATTGCCTTGTAATGATTGATTTCCACTTCCTTCTTACCACTAGAGTGTACGTTTCATGTAGATAAGGACTGCTTTTTTTTTTTTTTTTCCCATTTTGTACCTCCATTATTTCCATTAGTGGTCTTAGTATTTGGCACATTGTGGGGATAACTGTAATCTTTTCACATTTATTGTAGCTAAATATAGGGAAATAGCTATTACTTTAAGATTTTTGTCGTTAAAATAGATTCTGCATATACATTTCTTTAAGTACAACAGTATTGTTTAACCTTATGGGGCTGCTGGAAATCATTCGTCTCTTGATCTGGGCAGTAGTTATGCCAGTGTATACATATGTAAAAAATCATCAAGTCCACAGTGAAAACTAGTATATTTTTTGCACTTTGTACATGTTATGCCTCACTTAAAAATATTACACAAAATAATAGCTTAATGAGGAGCATAGGGAGGCTGGTGTAAATATTTATATTATAATATGGCATTTAAGAATATTGCATTTGTACTGTTGGCTAATTCAGATTGACTGAGGTTTGACGTGTGTCTAAAATGGATACAGTTTTGTCTGTTGATGGATTTTTTTTTTTTTTTTATATGGAGTCTTGCTCTGTCACCCAGGCTGGAGTGCAGTGGTACGATCTCGGCTCACTGCAACCTCTGTCTCCTGGGTTCAAGTGATTCTCCTGTGTCAACCTCCTGAGTAGCTGGGATTACAGGTGCGCGCCACCACACCTGTCTAATTTTTGTATTTTTAGTAGAGACGGAGTCTCACCATGTTGGCCAGGACTCCTGAGCTCAGGTGATTCACCTGCCTCGGCCTCTCAAAGTGCTGGGATTACAGGCGTGAGCCACCACGCCCAGCCTGTGATGTAATTTAATTATAATAGAGAAGCCTTTATTTTCTCCTTGCCTATAATAAAATGCTTATATATAGCTTGGCTTTCAAGGCCCTCAAGAGTCAGGTAATAATGCTACCTAATCTGTCACTCATTAGCATTTTGAGAAAATGTTTAGTATCCACTATGCAGTGCCCTGTACCTGCACTTAGCACAGAAGATATAAAAACAAAGAAGAAATGATCTCTGTTTAGAGAAGTAGGGAGATAAGTGGGCCATGTAAAATGCAAAGGCCCAGGGTCAGGTGACTTAGGAGTGTAGAGGTGGAAGAATTCACTGATGGTGCAGCAGTCAGTCAAGATTTGGTAAAAGAATGCGACTTCCTCTAGACCTTGAAGAAAGGGTAGAGTTTACATCCGTGAGAGAGGAGGAGCAGAGCCGAACTGGGCACAGGGAAAAGAGAGCACAAGGTACCAGGGAACGGCTTCAGGTAGCCTGTTGAGCTAGTGTTGAGTGCACCCTCAGTGGTGAGGAGAGGGGTGGGAGGAGGAAGCTGGGCTGCAGGCGAAGCCACCTTTGGGTGAGCCTTGGATACTTGGCTGAGGAGCTTGGACACCTGGCCTGTAGACACTCAGAATCACTGGGGATTTTAAGTAGTAGGTGGTCGCAAAGTGATGTTTTGAAAACATTAACGTTTAATAGCCCACAGTGGGATGGATTGGAGGTTGAGAGCATTTTTATTTCTGACGGAAGTAGGGAGGCTTCTATGGGAAGGAATTCTTAGAGAAAGGAAGGAAGTCTGTTTAGACGTGTTGACCTTGAAGTGCTGGGAACTTGTAGTTGAAGGCGTCCTGCTAGGTAGTGGACATAGAGATTTGGGTTGCTGGTGCTGAAGGGCTTGCCTAGAGGTGATTCTCGAAATGACGTGAGTGCGGATTTGGCAGCTGAGATCAGTAGTAACAGAATATGGTGAGCAAAGGGCTGATTATTAGGAATAATGATAATAATTATTTTCTTAATTATAATACCTAGTTATTTATATAATTATTATTAATCTCCAGAGCTGGGGGAACTTGGCTGGTATAGTGTCAAACGTGGTGAATGAATCAAAAATTCAAGTTGGAAGGGACAGTCAGTATAGTTCAAAATACTGCAGAGCTTTCAGGAAGAAAAGAAAGAACTTAGTAAAAGATACATAGGTGGCTGAGTGTGGTGGCTCATGTTTGTAATCCCAGCACTTTGGGAGGCTGGGGCAGGTGGATCACCTGAGGTCAAGAGTTCAAAACCACCCTTGCCAACATGGTAAAATCCTATCTCTACTAAAAATACAAAAATTAGCTGGGCATGATGGTGGGTGCCTGTAATCCCAGCTACTTGGGAGACTAAAGCAGGTGAATCACTTGAGCCCAGGAGGTATGGAGATTGCAGTGAGCTGAGATCGTGCCACTGCACTCCAATCTGGGCAGCAGAGTGAGATTCCCTCTCAAAGAAAAAACAAACAAACAAAAAAAACAAACCAAAAAAAGATACATAGATCTGGAGTTTAGGTGACTATTTAGGTGACCTCTGCAATGGTGGTTTTGTAATGTTTGTAGCAGAAACTAGTTTTTTAGGGGAGTTTGGTAAGGGGTTATAAATTATCTTGAAAAGCTTAAAAGAAAGGACAGTGATTATCTTCAGAGGGTAGCCTGTTGGAAAAATCTGTTAGGATAGGAGAGACCCACATTGGAAGGACCTCAATCAGAGACCAATAGGAAGAGGGAATAAGAAGAAAAGACTGATGATGTGGCAGGAGATTATTGAGTAAGGGCCTGGGTGAAAGAGGACCATAGGATCAAGAATATACATAAAGGGATTAGATTGAGAAGGGGTAGAGAGCAGAATTTGAGAAAGAGAGGAGAGACTTATTGAGATAGTTCAGAGTGTGGCTGCAGAGCTGTTTTGAAGCAGACAGGATGCAAGGTGAGGGAAGGTCTTGCTGGATGTTAGGAATTCTTTGTAATGTTGAGAGTGGGACTGTCTCCCAAATGGGAGTGGGTGAGGACTAGCTGGCTCATGTGATGAGGCAGGGAAAGGAGCAGAAATCATAGCATATAATCGTGGATAGTTCAGTTCCATAAGAAGGGCAGAAATCCAATGCAATAGGTATTCAAAGGATGAGAGCTCAGTTACAATTAGTATATTTTTAAAAGGCTTTATGAAGGGTGATTTTCTATGTGTATTATGTTTGAAGATGTCTAAGATATTGATATTGTAAAGTTGGGAAAGGCATTTTACCCAGAGTAAGTATTATCCACAAAGAAGGAGGCTAGAAAAGAGAATTTAGTTCTTTTTAGTGGAGAAAACCACAGATGCAGGAGTGAAGTTGGGAATCTCCTCCTGGATTTCTTTTCTTTTTTTTTTTTTTTTTTTTTTTCTTTTTGAGACAGAGTCTCACTCTGTCGCCCAGGCTGGACTGCGGTGGTGTGATCACGACTCATTGCAACCTCCACCTCTCAGGTTTAAGTGATCCTCCTGCATCAGCCTCCCCAGTAGCTGGGACTACAGGCATATACCACCATGCCTGACTAATTTTTTTGTATTTTTAGTCTAGATGGGATTTCTCCATGTTGGCCAGGCTGCTCTTGAACTCCTGACCTCAGGTAATCCACCTGGCTTAGCCTCCCAAAGTGCTGGGATTACAGGCGTGAGTCATAGTGCCGGCTCATCCTGTATTTCTTATTCGTTCTCCCTAAGCCTGCTTTGAGGCAGTGACGGTGGCAGCTGCTTCCCCTCCATTCTCTTCCTTGCTTTGTGAGGCTCTGGCTCCAATGTGCTGTTTTGGCAGCCTTTTGATTCTGGCTGTCATGGAGTCTTCATCCATCTGGGAAGCCTGTCCAGGGGTCCAGCCCTCAACAGTGTGGTTGCTGTGGTGTCTGACATGATTTATAGGGCAACTCTGCTCCATACAGTAGCCACTAGCACAGGACTACTTAGACTTACATTAATTAAAATGAAATGGAAAACAAAACAAAACAAAACAAAAAACTCAGTTCACAGTCACAGTAGCCACATAGCATTCAAGTGCTTCATAGTCATTATTTGACGAGTGACTACTGTATCTCACAGCACAGAATTGTAGAGTATTTCCATCAACACAGAAAGTTCTACTGGACAGGGCTGTCGCAGAGAGTAGATTAAATTAAATTAAATTAAATTAAATTAAATGTTAATTTCCACCTGTGGGCTGCATGTACTGAAAGGTCACTGTGGGCATTCATGTGTCTGCCGATCGCTAGCCTCCCCAAAGGCAGGCAGTGCCTTAATGCATGATTTATATTCCTGGATGCCTTTTGAATCATGTTTCAGGGAAAGGTGCTTTTGAGTGCAGTTTCAAGGGCTCATGGGTCTTGTCCCATCTCGTGATAACTTTGTGACTTTAGCCTATGAATTAAGCTCTTAGGGCCTCAATGTCGTCATCTGTGAAAATGTGATACTGTGAATTGTTCTAATGATAAGGATCACACACGCAGACCTATGTAAAGTGGTTAGGCTGCTTTAGTTTGTTTGGCACTTGGTTACTATTCCCGCTCACAGTCAGACTGCTGGACTTTAAATTCTGTTTCACAAGATATGGGAAGCAATGAAATCTTGTTGAAAATTTGGGGCTGTGTTACCTTGTGATGGAAACATTGTCACTCATTATAAAAGTTAAATAAAAGCCTGGCTCAGTGGCTCATGTCTTTAATCCCAGCACTTGGGGAGGCTGAGGCAGGCAGATCAACTGAGGTCAGGAGTTCAAGACCAGCCTGACCAACATGGCAGAACCGGTCTCTACTGAAAATACAAAAAAATGAGCCCGTTGTGGTGGTGCATACCTGTAATTCCAGCTACTCAGGAGGCTGAGGCATGAGAATTGCTTGAGCCGGGAGGCAGAGATTGCAGTGAACCGAGATTGCAGTACTGCATTCCAGCCTGGGCGATAGAGTGAGACTCTGTCTCAAGAAAAGTTTGAATAAGATTGGTTAAAAGACATTTCATGGACTGGTTAATCATCTACTCAGGAGAAATAAAATGGGAAAAATAGGATTTATCTAAGATTAAAATTACGATAAATGTATACAGTTTTCTAAGAATCATAAAAAGTAAGATTTTTATTAAAATTCATGTTAAGAGCTAGTTTCTTTGAGTATACTTTTTATAATAATTTTAAATTTATTGTTTGTTTTAATAGTATGGAACCACCCCTTTAGTTTGGGCTGCACGAAAGGGTCATTTGGAATGTGTGAAACATTTACTGGCCATGGGAGCTGATGTGGATCAAGAAGGAGCTGTAAGTATCTTATATTTTAATGCTTGGCAATAGAAACATGCTTTTTATTTTAAGAGAGAGAATTTATGTCTTTAGTATATGCCTAGAGAAATTTCCCTCTAGTTCTAAAATGATAGTAACAGGAAAACAAGCATTTTCTGTTACCCTAAGTATGTTATATTATAAACATATATGCTATAAATAGATGCTTTTAAGGATGTGTTGCTAATGCACACACAATTGGGGAGGCTAAAAGTATAAAGAACAGCTTTCAGTAATCCTAGTGTGATATATATAGAGTTATGTGTTGCTTAATGACAGGGGTACATTCTGAGAAATGTGTCATTCAGTCATTCCGCCATTGTGGGAGCATCACCGAGTGCACTTACACATCTGGCTGGTATAGCCTACTCCGTACCTAGGCTCTGTGGTTTGGCCTGTTGCTTCTAGGCTGCAGCCTGTGCAGTGTGTTACTGTACTGAGTACTGTAGGTAGTTGTGAGACAATGGTTGTTTCTTTATCTAAACATACCTAAACACAGAAAAAGTACAATGAAAGTCCAGTATCATAATCTTACGGAACTTCTGTCATATATGCCGTCTGTCATTGATCAAAATGTGCTGTGCATGACTATTTTGGTGTTTGTCCATGGTTCCTGGCTGACTGCTCCTATAACCTGTGTAATATCATAAGTGACTACAGCAGTAAGAGTGTCTTTGGTTATATTTGGCCTTTTGTCCTTGGTTCTTGAAACAGCTTTGGTTCAGTTCTAGAGTGATAAAGATGAAATACAGTCTTTTGTTACTTATCACAAGCCCCTTTTAACCACACTTGAGCTTATGTTAATGAGATTATTTTTGGAAAGTTTCTAGATAACCCCACTGGTTGAGGTGCTGGTTGCCAGGTACACCAACCATGTGCTTAGAGGGTTGGAACTCACAGCCCTAACCCAACACCTCTGGGGAGGGGAGAGGAGCTGAAGATTGCATTGATCATCATTGACCAATGATTTAATAAATCATGCCTTCATAATGAAGCCTACATAAAAGCCCAAAAGGACTGAGTTCAGGGGCCTTCCAGGAAGATGACCAAGAACACATCCCTGTACTGGGAGGGTGGCATACCGCAACTTCATGGGGACAGAAGCTCCTGTACTCAGGACCCTTTCAGACCTCATCCTATGTATGTCTTCATCTGCCTGCTCATTTCTATCCTTTAAAATATCCCTTTTGGAAACTGGTAAATATTGCTTCCCTGAACTGTGTGAACTGCTCTAGCAAATTAATCAAACCCAAGGAGGGGATTGTGGGAGTTTTGATTTATAGCCAGTCAGTCAAACAACCTGAGCTTTCATTGGCATGGGAAGCGGGGGCAGTCTTGGGCACCGAGCACTTGCCTGTGGGGTCTGATGCTATCTCCAGGTAGGTAGTGTCAGAATTGAGTTGGAGAATACCCAGCTGATGTCCGCTGCAGAGCTGATTGCTTGCTTAATGGGTGGGGAAAAACCCCACACATCTGGTCATAGAAGTATTTAGTGTTGTAAGAATTTATGTGAATGGAGTTTGTTTTTTCCTGTACATAGTACAAATTGTTTAATAAGCTATTCAAATCAAATGGTTTTTAATATTGTGGAAAAACATTGTGCTGCATTAAAATATTTTTTCTTAAAAAATTTAAAATAATATTGTAATTTTGGGGATATTTTTAGCTGTGCCTTATTTTCCCTCTTCAATGAACAGATTTTAAAAAATCAGAAATCAGCTGATAGAACCCAGAAAGCTTAAAAACTGGTTAGATACGTCTTACTGATTAGCGGTTTTTAATTCCTCGTTCCCCAGCCTGTGCCAGTTGTGTTGGGGAGATGAAGAAGCCTAATATCACTTTTCCCTTGAGCCTATAAGAATATGGTTAAAGGAAGCAATATTTATGCAAAAGAACAGTTAAAATAATGCAGACAGCTATTTATAGAATTAGTATATTACGTGAGTGGATCATAAAGGATTCTGAGAGGAGATAGTACCGGATCTTGGGTCGTAGTGAAACAAGAGTAAACTCTTTCTGTCATACTTTGTGGCACACTGTCAACCCGTTCCTCCTGTTTGCATACTGGTAGGAGCTGACTCATGGCCAGCCTTCAAGGTGTAGACCCTGTTTTCGTGCTGGTGGAGGCAGCATGGTCCATAGGCAGCTGCAGATGCCGTACCTTCCATCTGCCTCCTGTGGACAGTTGGTCAAGTGAACAAGTGTCTTGTTTCTATGATGATTGATGGCTCAAGAATTTGAAAGGCTGTGTTATTTTAATATGTGGGAGAATGACAGCTTAATTTTGGGGGCTGACCTAAAATATTTCTATAAGGAAATTGTATAACAGCTTGAAGTAGATGAGCATCTCGAGAAGCAATTTTAATACTACTTCTGGTAGTGAGTCACATTCTTCTCTTAGTTGATTTATTGTTTGTTTATTTAGAGACAGAGTCTCATATGTTGCCTAGGCTGGTCTTGAACTCCTGGCCTCAAGCGGTTCTCCTGCCTTGGCCTCCTAAAGCTTTGAGATTATAGGTGTGGGCCATCATACCTGGCCTGATTTATTGTTATAAAATAGATGTACAGGTTTTAAAATAATTACTTAAAATAAGACAGGTTTTGAAAATGTAGTTTCTAGATCACTATGAAAGTCAAAGAGTATATTACACCTTTCTTGAAATAGCTTATGGCTGGTAATTCATTGTTGACTTTAGTGTTTTTTATGGGTTTTATTACAAAGAATTCTTGAAGTCTGATTCACCTGACTTTGGACTGTTTAATTTAGAATGTGTTTAGTCACCCTGTCATTTATCCTTCATTACATTAGTGAGTTAGTTTGTTGATTATAAATGAATCCAATTTCAGATTATCATTTAAATAACTGAACTTCATAATAGCACTAATGACTGAAGATCATTAATGTATTTTCAAAAACAAAAGATACCTCCTAGCCATTTTTGGTATGTTTCTTGCTATTTATTTTGGCATTTTATTATTGGAAATGACAATATTAGGCCACCTATTTGAAAACATTAGTTTTGTGATTATGGCATAAATCATATATTTTCTAGAATACACTAATTTCTTGGGCTTGTATTTTGTTTTGTTTTTGTTGTTGTTGTTTTTAGAATTCAATGACCGCACTGATTGTGGCAGTGAAAGGAGGCTACACACAGTCAGTAAAAGAAATTTTGAAGAGGAATCCAAATGTAAACTTAACAGATAAAGATGGAAATACAGCTTTGATGATTGCATCAAAGGAAGGACATACGGAGATTGTGCAGGATCTGCTGGATGCTGGAACATATGTGAACATACCTGACAGGGTAGGCCACCTGTTTCATATTTGTCTCCTAGTGGCGAAGTGGATGAAAGATGACCCTGGTGTCTTACTACCTTTCAAAATTCTCATGCATCACATAAACTTGTTTTAAGACAAGTTTATTTCTGCCTTTGAAACTAGTAAGTTAAAAACTGTTTGATCGTTCTGAAAAATATCCTTTTTAATTTTTGTCAAATAATGTTGTTATCGAAAATGTCACATGTGCTATTAGTCTGTAACTGACCTTGTTGTGTCACTGTAGATGTGCTTTCTTGTGCCCTAACTTCTCTGTGCTCACATTTACTGATCCACCTCTACCTGAACTCTCCACTTGAATGTCTAATTGGCCTCTTAAACTTACAGCAAAATAGATGCCTTGTTTTTTTCACCCCAAACCTGCTTTTCCCTCATTCTCTGTCTCAGCAAGTGGTACCACCATTCCCCTCTTATTGAGCCCCAAATCCTGTGCATTAGCCTTGATTTCTCTCTTTTCCTCATCTGCCCTCCAGCGGGCTCTTGTTGACTTTACTCCAAAACAAATCCTTTATCTGTCCACCTGTCTTCATTCCACTATCACCTCCCAGCTGAAGCCACTGTCTCTGGTGGTGCTACTGTTAAAGCAGCAGCTTTGCAACTGGGTTCTCCACTCTAATCTTGGAGTGATCTTTAAAACAATAAATCTCGTGTGTACTTCTTTGTTTAAAGCCATCCAAGACTTCCTGTTGCACTGAGGATGAATGTTATCTTTTTAGTTTATAGACATGACATGACATTGTCTTTTCCTAACCTGTCTCCCCACTTTCTACCCCTCTTCTGCCAGTTTTCATAGCCTGCAGCTGTGTTTGCTTCTTTCCCTTTCTTGAATTCCCTGAGCTTGTTCCTGCTGTGGGGCCTTTGCTGCACCTATGCTCTTAGTCTAGAATGCTGATCTTGTGGTTGGCTCCTTCTTGTCCTTCCCACCTGGGCTTCAATGTTACCTCCTTGGAAGGGTCTGCAACTACTCAATCCAAAGTAGCTACCTCATCACTTTTTTTGAGACAGGGTCTTGTTCTGTTACGCAGGCTGGAGTGCAATGGTGTGATCACAGCTCACTGTGGCCTCAACTTCCTAGACTCAAGTGGTCCTCCTTGCCTCAGCCTCCCAAGTAGCTGGGACTATAGGTGCATGCCACCACACCTGGCTAATTCTTGTTTGTTTTGAGAGACAGGGTCTCACTATGTTGACCAGGCTGATCTTGAACTCCTGGCCTCTAGTGATTCTCCTGCCTTGGCCTCTCAAAGAGGTGAGATTATGGGCATAAGCCATCATGCCCAGCCTACCTGGTAGTCACTTTCTAGAACATTACCTTATTTTATTTGCATAGTGTTTGTGTGATTTTTTGTTTATTGTATGTTGTCTTCTCTGCCAGGCTATAAATTCTTCCAGAGGTAGGACCCTGTCTGTCTTGTTTCCTAGTACCTAGAATGGCGGATGGCACATTTAGAGGTTTACTAGTCTGCACCCATGTTAATGCTAATGTTTCCAACTAAAATTTGTCTGCCTTGGGTTTATTTCTGCTATAAATGTGGTAGTTAAGACACTACATCATGGTGCTGAGCTTAATAACCCTTAAGGACCTGCATCGTGATTTATATCATAGTACTTTTGAGGTCCACTCAGGATTGAATTGAGCTGCAACTCGTGGGCTCATTCAACTCAAAAGACTACAACTGATTTTTAAGTTAGCAGTAAATAATAAAATATTTATGCCCATTTCCAAAATAGCTGTTTCCAGTATTTTAAGTATAGGAAGGTATAACTAAAAATGATCATTGCTTGGTGAATATAGTTCCAGGGGAGAGCGATGTCCTCATGAGGTCATGAACTTAGTCTTATGCTGGGGAATGAGTCAGTCCTGATGCACTACTGGCCTGTAACTGCCAAATCCACTAGGTTTTCATAGATGCTGCTCGGGGAACTGTCTTCCTTAATTAAATGTGGCTGTGGATTCATTGATAGTTTTAGCTTTATAGCTTCGTTTTTTAGAGTTCATGGCTTTCGTCATATAGCATTATTCCAAGAGATTTTTACTATATGATTTTAAAATGTTCATCTGGTTCATTGACAGCCACAGTGTTATTGTATTTAATTTACATGTGTAACAGGTGGTTACCTTCAAAGAGAATAGGTTATTGTTCTGGGTAACAAGTCTTTCTAAACTTTGTTTAGGAATTTCAGTCCTCATTTTGGGGCATAAAGTCCTCTGTCCCTTACTTTGATGTCTGTTAATATCAGGTATTCATATTAGTTAAGTAATATTTTTCTCTTATTTAGAGATAGACTTTTTCCAAGAAATTTTTAGAAAAAAATATGAAAACATGATTAATTTGAACTTCAGAAGAGTGCTTATTTGTTATCAATTCACCTTGTTTTTGTTTTTTTTTTCTGTCTTCTTAGAGTGGGGATACTGTATTGATTGGTGCTGTCAGAGGTGGTCATGTTGAAATTGTTCGAGCGCTTCTCCAAAAATACGCTGATATAGACATTAGAGGACAGGTATGTGTGATTACAGTGCAGTTGCTATCTTAGAGTATAATTGGATGTAAATGTTGACTGATCATAACATTATTCTTCCCACTTTCCTATGGAGATAAACTTGTAAACCCTAGTACGTTTAACAGGCGTATATTATTACTAAATTTCACTGCCATTATTGTAAAATTTCTATATTAATGTCGAGTTAAATGTAGTTAGAGGTAAACCAAAAAAGCTCATGTTTTTAGAATATACTGTCCTTACTAATGTGTATATATAGATTCAATCCTCAAAACTATAATGAGTAGTGAGTGATACTGAGAGAGTCAGTGGCACTTTGAATATCTGGTACTTACTTATTTTCTTTAGTGTTTTCTCCCTGTTTTGTCTTCTTCCTCCATCTGCTGTTCTTCTATTGTTGTTTTATTTTCTTCTCGTTTTTCTCCACTGTGCCTGCCTTTCCTAGGACCACTTGGTAGTCCTATGGACATTGCTTAAGGCAATCATAGTTCATAGAACCACAAAGGTTATTAATTTTAGATAAAAACCTTGCCCACAGTTGTGAATTTATCAAATACTTCAAGAGCTTTAGACTTTAGAAAAAGTTCTTGGTGTCTCATTTTGTTGTTGGACAGTATACATTTCTGCTCATTTTTTTCTTGTATTTGGCCAAAAATCTCTTGTATCCAAATCCATTTTTGGATCAAACTATAACCATTATGGCAAATGTTATGGGGGAATTAACATGGGCCCCTTGTCTTTAAGACACATATATTTTAATTTGAAAGATTTTAGTTTGTTTATTTTTATGCTTTTATTTAACATAAAAAGTGAAGCCACAAGATGATATATGATTGATTGCCTAGCAAAAGGTTCAAGTATGAGTCTTGAGGTGGGGAAAGAAGGCCTTAAGGTCAGGGGCTTTTGGAAGAAGGTAGAACTCGAGCTAAGTTTGAAGATGAGTTGGATTTAGATAGGTGAAGAGCCTGGCCGGGTGGCCGATGCCTGTAATCCCAGGCTGAGGTGGGAAGATCTCTTGAGCCCAGGAGTTTGAGGTTATAGTGAGCTGTGACCATGCCACTGCACTCCAGTCTGGGTGACAGAGTAAGACCTTTTCTCTTAAAAAAAAAAAAAAGAAAAAAGAAAAAAAAAAAAAAAGAAAAGGAAAGCCAGGTGTTTCAGGCAAGGGGAGTGGTAATAGGATGAGAAAATTAGAAAGTGAAAGACTGCATTTTGTAGCTGGCGAATGAATCATTTGGCATTGGGCAGTGGGGAGGTAGGCACGGTGGGGAAAGGTGGAGAAATGAAATGGGAAGGGAGGTAGGGCCTGACAAGTTTGAGATGGGCAGCTAGTGTGCATTTTTTAGAAGAGAAACTCTGTTGGGGAAATTTTGGTATTAGGAACTTAATGTGGCTGCTGCAAAAAGTCATTCATTATCTCCTGGGTTAAAGTAACATTGCCACTAAAAGTTGGGTTCTAGGTCACCTATTTGGACTTTTACCTAACTGCCTTGCGTCTGTGAGTCCTCTTCTGTGTTTGAATTCGGTTTTTGTTGTTCTCTAGTTCTACTTTCAAGGTCTGTATGGATTGATTTTTGGGTTTTGAGCTAGATAAGATTTTAAAGATCTGATCAAGGCAATATAGGGGTATTGGATGGATGGAAATTAAGAAAGCTAAAAATGATAATGCCTTGTATTTGTGAAGTATATTTTCGTGCATTATCTTTTGAAAAATTGGGCAATACCTACAGCATGTTACAGATGAAAATCTTAGGGTCCAAGACTTGTCCAAGTTTACGGAGTTCAGGTATTGATGACTCCTAACCCAGTGTGTGTTCCTGAAATCTGATAACATTACAAAAGTATAGTTTACTTTATTAACTATGTGGGATTACTACTTTTTAGGTTAAGTAATACGAAGTTTTCCTAGACTTCTTTCACAAAGAATTTCTCAAAAGTACCTTCAAGATAGCATGAGGATTAATAGCACTTCCTACCATGCTGCCTGTTGGAATGCTTTCTGACAGAAATGATGTTTTGTATTTACAAGTGGCAGTTTTAAATATTGTATCTTGCATGAAGTGATTGTGTTTTTTTAATTATCTAGGACAATAAAACTGCTTTGTATTGGGCTGTTGAGAAAGGAAATGCAACAATGGTGAGAGATATCTTACAGTGCAATCCTGATACTGAAATATGCACCAAGGTATAAGTGGCATTTCTATTCTGTTATTAGCAGCACCTCATGCTGAATGTTAGTACTGCTCATTTTATTTCAGTCGTCCTTGTTTGATGTTAGAGTTACACTGATTTTACTGGTAATATTCCCTGTCAAATTGAGGAGTAACTTTGTATCCTTTCAGGATTTGTGTATTCATAGCAAAATACAGTGTGATATTTGTTACTTCAATTAAATACTTTTCAGAAAGTGCAGTATCAGCTATTCATAAGTTGTTATTATTTGGACAGATCATTTCCCCCAAATTCATTTATGCTGCTGTTACCTGAGAGGCAGAACACATTCCTTTGTGGGGAGATTGCGTGTGCTCTGGAGTTCCAGGCCAGCCTGGGCAATAGAGTGAGACCCTGTCTCTTTAAATGAATACGTAAACAACCATTGTGACTGGTGGTTGGTTCCCTACACTAGCCACTTTCAACTATTTTACTCAAATCATGTAAAAAATACAAAATTATCTAATACTGTGGTCTCCTATTTAGCCTATGTGTAATAGTTTTCTATGGGGAAAATATATTTGGAATTCTGGGTTGATATGACAGGAATTCTTAATGAATAAAGCAAAATTATAGAGTCACCTGTAAGACAATCCCATGTCATCTACTGTAGATCAGGACCAGCCAATTTCTAACTCAATGATGGTACTTCTAGTACCCCAGGGTAGAAAATTTCTGAGATACCTTCTGGTTTGCAGGTGGCTCCTTAATCCTCTTTTTTCTTTTTCTTTTGGACCTTGGTGTCAGCCAGGGTGACTACCTGTGGCTTCTGATGAGATTTTTGTCTAACTAAGTACTGAATTGTGGTCTCTTCTTGCTTCCCTTCCTTTGGTTCTGAAAGCAATCATGAACTTTTTTGAGGTTTTCTGAAGGCATACTGCTAGCTTCAAAAGGTTTCACTGAGAACTGAAGTGATATTGGCATACATTTCTGAAAACTGTGGACACTGGCTTACCTGGATGTTGACAGGCTGGGCTGTGGGTTGGCTGGTGGGGAGAACGGGAAGTAGCCTCTGGAGGGGAGCTGCCCCAGGTCAGTGGTAGAACCTGGGGAAGGGCAGAAGCAGCCACTGCTGCCGGCTGTAGCTTACGAGCAGGTGGGGCAGGTCCCACAGCTGGCTACGTGATTTAAAGTCACTTTGATACAAATGAGTGGTTGTAAAAGAAAAACATTTTTTTGTTGTTTGCTTTTATGTTTTCTTGAGGGGGTTTTAAATATAGACTGTTAACCAGAGTCAGATATTTCTTGACATGTGCATTTGTATGACATAAACACAGGAGTCAAACTATTAATCTGGCAAATGTTCTTATTTGTGCCCACAGGATGGTGAGACGCCACTTATAAAGGCTACCAAGATGAGAAATATTGAAGTGGTGGAGCTGCTACTAGATAAAGGCGCGAAAGTGTCTGCTGTAGATAAGGTGAAACATCTGTGGAGGGAGAACGCTGTATGGACAGCTGTTGGTAGACTGACCTCTGTATGGAGGGGATTTAATGGGGATCTGATTTTAGGTTGTGTGGGGAGAGATGACTTGCTGGGGATGTCTGTGTGGGATTTGGATCCCACACAGTAGCACGCTGAGGAGTGGGCAGGCTCAGTGTGCTGTTAATGCAGCTGCTTCCGATTTTCCTTCTATGGCTCACAGCAGCTGTGGGGCACTGCCATTGACCACCATATGAGGAGGAGGCTCCGCCTTCATCAGGGTAGAGCTTGTTGCAGATAAACAGGAGGAAAGAATGCACAGGGGCTGGAGGAGGCCGACTCTCAAAACGGCATTAATGTTCACTGACAGGAGATAATATGTTTGTTCTGCTGCATGCCCTTGCTTTAGCCTTTTAGAGAAATTTTTGTATTTTCTATAATAAGTTTAGCTCTAAGTGACTTAATACTTCATATAGATTTGATTTTTCATTTTAGTTTCTTTTTGTTTTAAACAAGCTTATTTCTTTCTGTACTTTAAACTGATTTTCCCCCAGAGTAGAAGTGAACTAATTGATGTATAAAGTAAGAAATAATATTGTAAATTTTCTCCTCTGATGAATAATATGATTAGGGCTTTACCAATTAATAACAGATTGAAGTTTATTTTTCTGTTAGTTATAAGGCAGTTAAACAAAAACAGGGAGTCAAGAATCAATACGTTTGTGTTTCATTTTGCTAAGTTACAATATTATTTTAAAACGTGAAAGCACCTCCCCCGTCATTACCATATTAACATAATGTCATATCAAAGAAAGGAAACTTTAATATTAAAGATTAGAAGATATAAAGTCAAAGAAGAGTTTTCAAAATGGAGTATGTGTAGCTTTCTAGAAAATTTCTTATAATGCCTGTTTTTCTCAATCTGCCGTTGACTCATCTGACACTGGTCCCCCAACTTGCGATATAGAACCACCAGACTCTTCAAGGTTCCATATAGCCTTGTTAATTATGTAATATGCTATTTTAAGTAATTGCTTTATACTAATTCATAATTTTCTTGAAGGCCTCTGCCTTGGTATTCTTTTGTGTGTTGCTGTGCCCAGAGTCAGCACATGATACTTATTGACAAATACACATGATAGTTGGAACAGTTGTTCATTCATGAACACATCTTACTGAGGATGGGTAAAGTACTATCCTGCTAGAATTTGGGATACACACTTATAAAAGTCTTGAACCTGGATCTTCATAGATAATTTCATAAAAACAATTTTAAAAGTGATGATTAATGTTATTTTTACCTTGCCCATCACTGCTTTCTGATTATTTTCAGCCTGTCAGCCAAGTGTGCTGATATCCTCCCTGCATTTATAGAGTTTTTATATCTGGCAGAAATGCTGCTGCTGCTGTTTTGTCTTCTCACAGGTTTGGGGATGAGAATTAGAATTGAGATGTGAAAATAAGATGAAATTGGGTTTGGATATGTTTAGTTTGAGGGCTGATAAGATATTCAGTCGTCTGTGGCCAGTAGACATTGGGAAATCTAGTACTGGAATCTGGGCAAGAAATCAAGGCTGGTGATGGAAATTTGGAAGTTAGTTACTAGGATAGAGAGTTGCATGGGAGTGACTAAGATGATCAGTGTGAAGAAAGATGAAAGCTGCAGTCAAAAATGGACTTCTCTTATGCTGTGTGTCATACTGCAGTTTTTAAATTGTGCATGTTTATCCGGTCTCTTCCTATTACGACATAAGCTACTTAAGGTCAGCAACTGTTTTGTCTTTCATCTTTATATCCTCCAAAGTACCAAGCACAGAACCTTGCGTATAGTGAACTTCGTGCATAGTTATGGTGCCACACTTTTCAGGACATGGGAGGAGTGTCTAGAAGATGAAAAGATCAAGATAAGGTCGTGCCTTGGAAGCCACAGGAAGAATGTGTAGGTCATTTTCATTTAGTGTCCTGGAGATCAGTGTGGATGAGAACCAATAATTTAATTTGTTAAGGTGTTTGTGAAGCAACCAGTAGGAGAGCACTTTGTAGCCCGAAGAGGGCTTTTGAAATTTACATGTTAGCTTTCATTAGTGTTGGATGTGAACACTCATGTGATTGGAGATCCTAATAAGGAGAGAAGATGGGTTGATAGGGAAAAGTGAAAGGTGAGGAGAGTGGAAAGGTGAGGAGAATGGAAGAGTTGAGGAGAGAGTTGGAGGAGGATAGCTGTACCTAGAGGACTCAGGTTGAGAATGTAGAGTGATGAGATTTAAGGGTTCACTGTGGCAAATGGTTGACAAAGGTTACTGGAGCTGGCAAGATTACTTGTGTTAGATGGCTATCAGCATGGATTGTAAGGCTTTCTAGACAAACGAAGAAAGCTGTGAAATAGAATTTAAATTAGTTGAGAAAGGTAGTTGACATCCTTGGACAGTAAATATTTGGATGATGGAGGGATACTAATGAAGTGGACCCATGGCCTAGGAGGAGCTGCAGGGAGAAAGCCTGTTGCTTCTCTTCTTTCACTGAGTCAAGGGAAGGAGAAAAGAATGACCTTCATTCTAGAGGGCTGTGGGAGAAATAATATCTGAGCAAAGCTGGGTGAGGAGCTACAGAAAGAAATTATGGGGAAGATAGAGATAAAAATTCATATTATATATGTGCTTTATATGAAAAATAAGAAAAGTTCAGAGTTTGTTATTTTACAGAAACATGGATGTTGTTACTCTGCACACTGTATACAAAGATAAGAACGTTCAAGCTTCCTACTATTATTTCACAGAAAGGAGACACTCCCTTGCATATTGCTATTCGTGGAAGGAGCCGAAAACTGGCGGAACTGCTTTTAAGAAATCCCAAAGATGGGCGGTTACTTTATAGGCCCAACAAAGCAGGCGAGACTCCTTACAATATTGACTGTAGCCATCAGAAGAGTATTTTAACTCAAATATTTGGAGCCAGTAAGTATTGAGTTTTTCTCTGAACTGAGCTTTTAAATAATGAATGTTCCATTAAAAAGTATGGAAAATAAGGCCAGGCATGGTGACTCATGCCTGTAATCCCAGCACTTGAGGAGGCCGAGGCAGGAGGATTGCTTGAGCGCAGGAGTTTGAGACAAGCCTGGGCGGTACAGTGAGACCTCATCTCTACAAAAAAATTTAAAAAATAGCTGCGTGTGGTGGTGTGCCTGTAGTCCTAGCTTCTTGGGAGGCTGAGGTGGGAGGATCTCTTGAGCCAGGGAGATGGAGATTGCTGTGAGCCAAGATCGCACCACTGCACTGGGTCTCCCTCTGTTGCCCAGGCTGGAGTACAGTGATGCAATCATAGCTCACGGCAACCTCAAATTCCTGGGCTCAAGCGATCCTCCCACCTCAGCCTCCTGAGTACTTGGAACTACAGGACCATGCCACCACACCCAGCTAGTTTTTTTTTTTTTTTTTTTTTGTAGAGACAAGGTCTTGCCATGTTCCCTAGTCTGGGGCCAAGTGATCCTCCCACCTTGGCCTCCCAAAGTGCTGGGATTACAGACATGAGCCACTGTGCCTGGCCATAATTCTGTTTTTTTAAGACTTTTTGTATTTTAAAATATTCTTTCTTATTATAATAGTAATGTGCACTAATTACATTTCAAGAATGAAAACGTAAGTATAGCAGAAAGTGAAAATTCCCCATTATCCCCTATCTCCCAACTTGTAATTGTTTAAATGACCCTCCAGGCTTTTCTTTATGCTTATAAAAATGTTACATACTATATATATATATATAGTTTTAAAAAATAAAAATTGAGTTATACTATGTTACAAAAGCTTAACGTATCATATTTTAATTATTGCATAATTTTTCATCATAGTACATTGAGTTCTCTGTTGGTGAATATTTAGTTTGTTTTGCTAACAATTAGTGCTGCAGCGAACACCTTTGTACATATATCCGTTGACTCTTATTTCTAGGATTTTTTTTCTTTCTTTTGAAAATAGTATTAGAGATTCAGGGGGTACAATTAGGATTATTTTCTTAGGGTAAATTCCCACAAGCAGAATTCCTAAGTCAGTGGATGCCCATAGTTTCGATACACTTTCCAAAATGGTTGTAAAAATTTCTTCTCCCTCTGGCAGTATAAGATACCACAATTCCCCACAAGTTTGCTAGCACTGGGTATTTCCAGCCTCTTACTCTTTGCAAATCAGATAAATAAGAAAGAAAAAATCTCATTTCAATTTGTGTTTTAAAATTATTAGTGAAATTGAGATCTTGTAATATATTTATAGGCTATTGCTTCTCAGCTTTTTGGCTTAGATAATATGTAATATATTCATAGGCTACTTGTATTCTTGCCAGTTCCCTTTTTGTATCCATTGTCCATTTTTTAGTTTTCAATATTAAAAAAAAATTGATGTAAGAGTCTTTCTGTGTTATGGATATTGATCCTGGGTGTGTCCTATGTGCTGCATTCCCCTCCCCTCAGCATACTCTTGGTTGATGGTCATGGATTTTTATTCCGCATTCAAAAGTTTTACATTTTTGTAGTTAATTCGTTAGTCTTTTCCTGCAGTTCTGGCCTTAGTATTACATTGAGAAAGAAAGGCCTTTTTAAACAAAGATTTTTAAAGTTTCTCCTGTATTTTCTTCTATTACTTCTATGGTTTTACTTTTTTCTACTTAATTTTTTAATGTTTCAGAAAATTTTGTTAAGGCTATGAGGTATGTAGCATTTTAATTTAATTTTTTTCATGAATGATTAAACTTTCCCAACACCACTTACTAATTCATCCTTTCCTGCCTTATTTGAAATGCCACTTATGTTAATATCCTATATGAGTTCCAGAATGTTCAAATTATTGTTTACATTTTTATTCTTCTCCAGTGACAACTACCCTTCAGTAGTCTTTATTTTTTTTTTCCTATCCTTACATATTCTTCTTTCCTTTCAATTAAAACAAAATTCTCATGGGTTTTTAATTAGAACTGCCTTGAAGTGACAGAATAATTTGGGAGAATTGCTAAACCTTTCTACCTGGAATCATAGAATGTTTCTTTTTCTCTTATCTCTTCAGTAATGTTATGTTACTTCAGTAACATTTATTATGTTTATATTTATATTCAGTAACATTTGTTATGTTTATGTTTATATTTGTTATTGTTCAGTAACAATGTTATGCTCTTCAGTAACATTTTGTAACTTTGTATAGGTATTACACATATTAAATTTATTTTACATACTCATTTGTGTTAATCATCATATGTTACTGATTCTAAAATGCACACTGTTCCCATGATTTAACATCTCTGAAATTGGTATGTGTCTTGTAAGTGATGGACAAGAAAGCATGATGTCACAATTTGGCAGCATTTTGTTCTTAGTTATACATAAAAAGATGTATCATATAATTAATAGGTATCTTAAGTTCTATGAAATATGATAGTAATTTAAGAATCTCTGAAACTTTTTTTTTTAATTTTAAATCAGGTAGCCTTCCAAGTCAGAGTAGGCTCAGAGACTCCCTGAAACTGTCTTTACATGGTTATAAACATTTGAAATAATTTTTTTCTTTCTAATCAAGTAAACAATAAATGAAAATAGTGTTCCTTTCTAATAGTAATGCCACTGTTTAACGTAAGATATGATGTGTTTTAATTACAGGACACTTGTCTCCTACTGAAACAGATGGTGACATGCTTGGATATGATTTATATAGCAGTGCCCTAGCAGATATTCTCAGTGAGCCGACCATGCAGCCACCCATTTGTGTGGGGTTATATGCACAGTGGGGAAGTGGGAAATCTTTCTTACTCAAGAAACTAGAAGGTAAAGAGCTTGCTTATACAAAGTCTCTATATGTAAAACAAGGTTTTCTCTGGGGATTTTTCTGAAATAAAGAGGAAGACCGCTTTCTGTACGAGCATGTGTGTTACGCGGTTTACTGAGATGAACTCCCCTCTGGTTGGTTCTTCACACGATCATTTGAGTTCTCTTTCTAAAGCAGATCCAGTTGTGTGATAAACCTACGTAAAAACCCTGCTGGCAGGTTTTTTCGGGCCCTTCACAGACTTGCCAGTTTGCATGGTCCCACCTGCCAGCACCACCTCTGGCATGTGCCCCAGCTTCAGTCACAGAGGACTATTTGCTCTTGCAAGAACAGACCAGACATGTTTCCCAGGTTGCTCCCTCTATAAGCAGCTTCTTAGCTGGCCTCACTACCACCCACCTAACATGTATGCCTTTTGCTTGGCAAAATCTTGCTCATTCTTCAAGAATAGGTTTCAGTATTGCTTGTAAAAATTTCCCCAAGTTTTGTACAAAGAATGACTTGTGTGGGGCTCCTTTGGGCTCAACATGCACCTTTAAGCACGGTATTCTCAAATGTGATTGGAGGGAGAAGGGATGAGGAGGATCACAGTGGAATGGTGGTGGTATGTAGTTTGAAGATACAGAGTATTATTTTTGCATGTGGAAACGATATGCATATACGTAATGTTTGTGTTAATGCAAACCACAAAAAATCTCAAGAAAATCTTGACAGGTGGGAGTATATGAGAAGGGATTTCGTACATCCTCCATGTGAAGCAGGAGAGGGTGGTGATTCAGGCCTAGCTGTGGTCCTGGGGGTGAGATGTTCATCTTGGCAAGAGAACACTGGTTAAAATGGTTAAGTAGCAGTATTCTATCTAGGGACCTAGTAAAGTGCCCAATAAATGTTTACATTGAAAATGTGAAAACTGCAAATCGTGTTAAAAGTTGTATTTCTTAAAACAGGAATAAGGTTTCATACTAAATTATCTTTCAGATGAAATGAAAACCTTCGCCGGACAACAAATTGAGCCTCTCTTTCAGTTCTCATGGCTCATAGTGTTTCTTACCCTGCTACTTTGTGGAGGGCTTGGTTTATTGTTTGCCTTCACGGTCCATCCGAATCTTGGAATAGCAGTGTCATTGAGCTTCTTGGCTCTCTTATACATATTCTTTAGTAAGTCTTTGCTTTTTATGTTTTTCAAAAATGGAGAAAATGTTAAGATTCATAGATAAAGAAAAAAACATTATCTTTATCTGTCTTTGAAAACCTGTATGTGATTTTCACTAATAGGGTGAGAAAATTGACCGTTTTGCTACTTCATAAATTTTCCTAAAGGAACATTGCTCACAACTTGGCGGAAGTAGCTTATAAACTAATGTACTACTTGTTAATCTTGAAGCAAGACCCTAGATTATTATACTTACTTTAATTAATGATTTATATTTAAATCCTTTTTCTGGAAAGAAGGCTTCTGAGCCATCACTGGTGTGCTTTTGAGCATTTTGACCATGTCTGTACTTTTAATTTTATCTAAAAGCAAAGTAAAAAAATATAATATAATCCCTATTCTTGGGGGTGTCTTCAGTTGCAAGAAAGGAAATAGATTTACTGTAAGAGGAACTGATAACCAACTTTACCAGTTGCAAATAGTGATAAATCCAAAGTCATTTGCATTTGAATCTGAACTGCAGTTATGTTTCTGTTTAAGGCATATTTTAGTCTGTTTACTTTTCGTTTTTCATATCTTCTGTATCTTAGGGGAGGTTAATGGAATTCTTTGAGGAGTAGTTAGGAAATAGTATGGGACCATAGAAAGCTATGTAAGCTTAGCTGTCATTGCTTGATATTTGATCTTTGGAGAAAAGATCTGCTTGACTGATGACTGCTTTGGATAACTTTTTTAAACTGTGAATTTCAGTTGTCATTTACTTTGGTGGACGAAGAGAAGGAGAGAGTTGGAATTGGGCCTGGGTCCTCAGCACTAGATTGGCAAGACATATTGGATACTTGGAACTCCTCCTTAAATTGATGTTTGTGAATCCACCTGAGTTGCCAGAGCAGACTACTAAAGCTTTACCTGTGAGGTGAGTTGTTCCATTTGACAGAAGAAATCTTCAGTGAGATTCAGAAAAAAATATTTTTCACTTCAAAAAATTTATAGGGGCCAGGCGCGATGACTCACCCTTGTAATCCCAGCACTTTGGGAGGCCGAGGTGGGCAGATCACCTGAGGTCAGGAGTTCGAGACCAGCCTGCCCAACATGGTGAAACCCCATCTCTACTAAAAATACAAAACTAGAGGGGGCGTCATGGTGCATTCCTGTAATCCCGGCTACTTGGAAGGATGAAGCAGGAGAATCGCTTGAACCCGGGAGGCAGAGGTTGCAGTGAGCCAGGATCGTGCCATTGCACTCCAGCCTGGGTGACAAGAATGAAACTCTGTCTCAAAAAAAAAGTTTAAAAAGTATAATTTCTCAACGTATGTTCCAAAAAACATTGGTACCTGGAACCTTTTGCATGCAAAAATAAAAACATGCCCTGGTCAAATACTGTGGGAAACATTTCAGATTATGTATCCCTCTTGTACATTAAAGGATCAGAGGCACCTTTCCATAAAGAAAGCTGTTTAACCTTTATTTACCAAATTTTATTTGAGCATAAACCTTTTCTCCCTGTTATGTCACCTGTTACTGTCCTTTGGAACACACTTTGAAGAGAGCACTGGATGGAGGAAGGGTCCAGCCAATGGCCTTGGTTCCCAGAGAGCTCCTGGTTGGAGACCTGGCCCCTCCTTATGTGAGCAGTTAACCTGGGGAAACCCAGCTCCCCTCTCTGAGCTGTGCTTTTCTCAGCTCAGGAAATATATTCTGTATCTATATTAGATAAACACATGTCTATCTAAAATTATTATTCATACTAAGTAGGAAATGTATGAGAAAACAGAAAAGATGAAAAATGTTTATAAGTCCAGGAATAAAGGAAAGGTAGAGGACTCTAGAAGAAAGTAAAATGGAAAAAAAAAAGAAAAAAGAGGCTAGAAAATTAAAAGCAAAAGAAAGTCGATGGAAGTAAGCAATGTAAGAATTTAAATTGTATTAAGGCCAGATGTGGTGGCTCACACCTGTAATCCCAGCACTGTGGGAGGCCGAAGTGGGCAATTGGTTGTGCTCAGGAGTTCACAACAAGCCTGGGTAATGGTGAAACCCCATCTCTACAACAAATAGAAAAATTAGCTGGGTGTGGTGGCACATGCCTGTAGTTCTAGCTACATGGGAGGCTGAAGTGGGAGGACTGCTTAAGCTTGGGAGGTTGAGGGTACAGTGAGCCAAGATCATGCCAGTGCACTCCAGCCTGGGCGACAAAGTGAGACCCTGTCTCTAAATAAATAAATAAAAAGCATTAAAAGATGAAACAATTTTAAATTATAAGAGAAAATAAGTGTAATTTTTTTTTTTTTTTTTTTTTTTTTTTGAGACGGAGTCTGGCTCTGTCGCCCAGGCTGGAGTGCAGTGGCCGGATCTCAGCTCACTGCAAGCTCCGCCTCCCGGGTTTACGCCATTCTCCTGCCTCAGCCTCCCGAGTAGCTGGGACTATAGGCGCCCGCCACCTCGCCCGGCTAGTTTTTTGTATGTTTTAGTAGAGACGGGGTTTCACCGTGTTCGCCAGGATGGTCTCGATCTCCTGACCTCATGATCCACCCGTCTTGGCCTCCCAAAGTGCTGGGATTACAGGCTTGAGCCACCGCGCCCAGCCAATAAGTGTAATTTAAGATGAAAATTAATAGGCCAAATCAGATAAAATATTAAAACCGAATATAAGAGAAAAATAAAGGTGAAAACTTTTAAGTAACTAGCATATAGAATTAAGTATTAAGAAAAGGATTTAAAAGTGAAAAAGTTAAAAGGAAAACAGAATAAAATAATTGGGAGAATGTTTTTACAGAAAATAAGGAAACCAGACTAAATTAATGAGGTGGTATTTTTTTTTTTTCAGTTAGAACAATTAAAATAGCATCATCAAGACCACACAGTATAATACAGATTGTATTCTGAGAGCAATGCTTATCTACTGGACTGAGATGAGAGTTTTAATTTACAGATGGAAGGGAGAAAGGAACTAATACAGAAATAATAATGATTCAGAGACTCAGAATACAAATAATTTTTAAGAACACTTAATTTTTTAAGAACACTTAATTTTTAAGAACAATTGTGAAGAGAATACAACTATTTCTCAATCCCTGGTAGATGTTGAGGCTATAAATAAAATAAGCCATTCTAAAACTTGAGTTTTTAAATGGTATTACTGGGCTTGAAATTCTTTAATGAATGTAATTACTATTTTTTCAGGGTTCAAGTCTCTTTCGTTGGTGTTAGAAAACTTTCTTTGTGCAACTCTTGGTGGCCACATCATGACACGGGTGTCACCTTTTAACCACTGTGTCATCAGATCTACTGGGGTGTCCAGTACTCCACATCTAAGTTCTGGCATAACTTTCCCCCGACTGTCCTCAGTCAGAATTACTTCATATGACTCGCATATTTCACTTTTATTACTGTTTTTTTCTCCTAAGAAAAGTATGTAAGATTTTAGAAGTGGAAGCTACCTAATTACAAATTCTTTTCCCTCCTTGGAATTTAAAAAACAATATTTTGAAAGAGAAATAAAACAAAGGGTAAATGATGCAAAGATGACATACATCCATTTAAGTTATTTGTTACTTTAAATACCAAAGTAATGTTTGATTTGTTCTTTTCTTCAAGGTTTTTGTTTACAGATTACAATAGACTGTCCAGTGTAGGTGGAGAAACTTCTCTGGCTGAAATGATTGCAACCCTCTCGGATGCTTGTGAAAGAGAGTTTGGCTTTTTGGCAACCAGGCTTTTTCGAGTATTCAAGACTGAAGATACTCAGGGTAGGATTTCCTTCCTTCCTTCTTTGTGTGTAAGGGGTGGGGGTGGGATGGATATTCAGTTCATTTTCATGAAACATGCCTTGAACATTAGACTCATCAGGTACTGTGACTATAATGTTAGGATTTTCTAGATACTTTATATGTTAGTAATTATTAAAACCGTTTGTTGCATTACAGGTAAAAAGAAATGGAAGAAAACATGTTGTCTCCCATCTTTTGTCATTTTCCTTTTTATCATTGGCTGCATTATATCTGGAATTACTCTTCTGGCTATATTTAGAGTTGACCCAAAGCATCTGACTGTAAATGCTGTCCTCATATCAATCGCATCTATAGTGGGATTGGCCTTTGTGTTGAACTGTCGTACATGGTGGCAAGTGCTGGACTCCCTCCTGAATTCCCAAAGAAAACGCCTCCATAATGCAGCCTCCAAACTGCACAAATTAAAAAGTGAAGGATTCATGAAAGTAAGCACCCACTGGTTATTAGAAAAAATTGTAATGTGAATATGCTGCCACTGCCATGCTCATTTGGGCTTTAGGAAGTATACTCTCTAAGTGTTAAAAAGTGTTGCGTTTATTTTAGGTTAGTTAATTTGTTCATTCATTCATTCATTCAAGACTATAATTTAAGGTAGTTTTAAGTTCACAGCAAAATTTAGAGGGAGGTGCAAAGATATCCCATATACCCACTTCCCCCACACATACAGAGCCTCCCCAGTTAGCACCATTACTACCAGAGCAGTACATTTGTTACAACTGACGAACTTAGGTTGACACATCATAATCACCCAGCATCCATAGTTTACGTTAGGGTTCACTCTTGGTGTGGTACATTCTATGGGCTTGGACAAATGTGTAACATGTATCCACCATTATAGTCTTATACAGAGTAGATTTATTGCCCTCAAAATCTTCTGTGCTTCACCTGTACACACCTGTTCACCGTTCCCTCCACCCTCCTCCCTAATCCCTGGCTACCATTTCTTTTTCCTATCACCATAGTTTTGCCCTTTCCAGAATGTCATCTAGTTGAATCATACATGTATAGTCTTTTCAGATTGGCTTCTTTCACATAGTCATATGCATTTAGTTTCGCGTCGTGTCTTTTCGTGGCTTGCTAGCTCATTTCTTTTTAGGATGGCTAATATTCCATTGTCTGGTTATATCACAGTTCATTTATACATTTACCTACTGAAGGACATCTTTATTGCTTCCAGGTTTTGGCAAGTATGAATAAAGCTGCTATAAACTTTTGTGTACAGGCTTTTGTATGAACATAAAGGAGTTGAAAACTCCTTTGGGTAAATACCAAGGAGTGTGATTGCTAGCTTGTATGGTGTTTCGTTTTGTTAGAAACAACCAAACTGTCTTCCAAGGTGGCTGTACTATTTTGCATTCCCACCAGAAATGAATGAGGCTCCTGTTGCTCCACATCACATCCTCACCAGCGTTTGGTATTTTTGGTGTTCTGGATTTTGGCCATTCTGATAGGTGTGCAGTGGTATCTTATGGTTTGAATTTGCATTTCCCTGATGACACGTGTTGTGGAGCGTATTTTCATGTGCTTATTTGCTATCTGTATGTCTTCTTTGGTGAATTCACTGTTAAAGTCTTTGGCTTATTTTTCAATCAGGTTGTTCATTTTCTTATTGTTGAGTTTTAAAAGTTCTTTGTATATTTTGGATAATGGTCCTTTATCAGATATGCTTTTTGCAAATATTTTTTCCCATTCTTTGGGTTGCTTTTCATTCACTTGACAGTGTCTTTTGCAGAGCAGACATTTTTTATGAAGTCTAGCTTGTTAATTCTTTCTTTCATGGATCTTGCTGTGGTGTACTATCTAAAAAGTTAACACCAAACCTATAGTCATCTAGATTTTATCCTCTGTTATTTTGTAGGTGTTTTATATTTTTACATTTAGGTCTGTGAGCTATTTTGAGTTAATTTTTGTGAAGTGTGAATGTGTCTAGATTCTCTCCTTTCTTGCTTTCTTACTGGCTTCTTTGCTTCTTCTTCTGTTCTGTTCTCTTCTCTTTTCTTCTCTTCTCCTCTCTCTTCTCCTCTCCTCTCCTCTCTTCTCTTTCTTTACCTTTTCTTTTCTTTTTTGTTTCCAGTTGTTCCAGAACCATTTGTTAAAAAGACTATTTCTTCCATTGTATTGCCTTTGCCGCTTGTCAAAGACCAATTGACTACATTTGTGTAGGTCTGTTTCTAGGCTCTCTTTTCTCTTTGCCTATTCATTTGCCCATACCACACTGTTTGATTACTCTAGCTTTATTTTCTTAAAGTTGGGTAGTGTCAGTCCTCCTATTTTGTTCTTCTCCTTCAATATTGTGATGGCTATTCTGGGTCTTTTTCTCCTCATAGGAACTTTTGATTCACCTTAAATAACTTGCTGGGATTTTCATTGAGATTGCATTAAATCTATAGGTCAAGTATTGAGTCTTCCTATCCATGAACATGGAATATCTCCTCATTTATTTAGTTCTCCCTTGATTTCTTTCAAGAGTTTTGTAGTTTTCTCATATAGATCTTATACATATTTTGTTAGATTTATACCTATTTCATTTTTTGCAGTGTTAATATAGATAGTAATTGTGTTCTTAATTTCATGTTTGACTTGTTCATTGCTGATATATAGGAAAGTGATCAAATTTTGTATATTAATCTGAAACCTTGCTATAATTGTTAGTCCCAGGAGGTTTTTTTGTTGTTGATTCTTTCAGTTTTTCTACATAGAGAGTCAAGTCACCTGTGAACTAAGACAGTTTTCTTTCTTCCCAATCTTCATACCTTTTATTTCCTTTTTTGTTGTTGTTGTTTGTTTTATTGTGTTAGTTAGGACTTCCAGTACTATGTTGAAAAGGAGTGGTAAGAAAAGGGACATCCTTGCCTCGTTCCTGATCTTAGTATATGTTCTCATGTTCTCACCATTAAGTATGATGTTAACTATGGATATTCTTTATCAAGTTGAAGAAGTTTCTCTCCGTTTCTAGTTTAGTGAGAGTTTCTACCATGAATGGGTGTTGGCTTTTTCTGTATCTATTTATATAATCATGTGATCTTTCTTCTTCAGTCTGTTTTTCATTTTTTTGGTTTTTTTTAAGACTGAGTTTCACTCTTGTTGCCCAGACTGGAGTGCAGGAGTGCAGTGGTGCCATCTCAGCTCACTACAACCTCCGCCTCCCAGGTTCAAGCGATTCTCCTGCCTCAGCCTCCCAAGTCGGTGAGATTACAGGAATATACCACCACGCCCAGCTAATTTTGTATTTTTAGTAGAGACGAGGTTTCACCATGTTGATCAGGCTGGTCTTGAACTCCTGACCTCAGGCGACCCACCCTCCTTGGCCTCCCAAAGTGCTGGGATTACAGGTATGAGCCATTGTGCCCAGCTTAGTCTGTTGATGTGATGGATTACATTAATTGATTTTTGAATGTGGAACCAGCCCTACCTTCCTGGCATAAATCTCACTTGATTGTGGTGTATAATTCTTTTTATATATTTTGCATATGATTTGCTAATACTTTGTTGAGGATTTTTGTATCTATGTCCATGAGATATTTATTGATCTGTAGTTTGCTCTTCTGGTCATGACTTTGGTTTTGGTATTAGGGTGATGCTGACTTCATAGAATGAGTTAGGAAGCATTCCCTTTGCTTCTGTCTTCTGAAAGATACTATGTAGAGTTAGTATAATTTCTTCTGTAAGTGCTTGGTAGACTTCACTCATGAACCCTTCTGGGCCTGGTGCTTTCTGTTTTGAAAAATTATTATTGATGCAATTTCTTCAATAGATACAGGCCTGTTCTTATGAATTTTGGCAAATTATGTCTTTCAAAGAACTGGTCCATTTATCTAAGTTATCAGATTTGTGGATATAGAGTTGTTCGTGGTATCCCTTTATTATCCTATTTTTTCCATGAGGTCTAAAGTGATAACCTCTCTTTCATGTGCTGTTATTCTGAATTTGTGTTCCCTCTTCTTTCATCTTAGTTAGTCCAAGGCTTACTGGTTGTGTTTACCTTTTGACCTAACTAGCTTTTGGTTTCATTGTTTTATTTCTGTTTTAGTTTTTATTATTTATTTTCTTCTGATTACTTTGGATTTAATTTGCTCTTCTTTTTCTGCTTTCCTGAGGTGGAAGCTTAGATTATTAATTTTATTTTATTTTTATTTATTTATTTTTTGAGATGGAATCTCACTCTGTTGCCCAGGCTGTAGTGCAGTGGTGCAATCCCAGCTCACTGCAACCTCTGCCCCCTGGGCTCAAGGAATCCTCCCACCTCAGCCTGTTGAGTGGTTGGGACCACAGGCTACATGCCAGCACGCCTGGCTAATTTTTGTAGAGATAGGGTTTCATCGTGTAGCCCACACTGGTCTCGAACTCCTGAGCTCAAGTGCTTCACCCTGCTTGACCTCCCAAAGTGCTAGGATTACAGGCATGAGCCACTGCACCCAGCCAGATTATTGATTTTATATCTTTATTCTTTACTAATACATGCACTCAGTGCTATACATTTTCTTCTTAGCAGTTCTTTTGCTGCATCCCACAAATTTTGATAAGTTGTGTTTCCATTTTTATTTAGTTCAAAATATTTTAAAATTTCTCTTGAGATTTTTTTTCTTTGACCCATGTGTTATTTGGAAGTGTGTTTTAAAATCTGTACATGTTTTGGGATTTTCCAATTATCTTTCTGTTTTTGATTTCTAGTTTAATTCCACCGAGGGTAGACATTGTATGCATGATTTCTATTTTAAATTTGTTGCTGGGCGCGGTGGCTCACGCCTGTAATCCCAGCACTTTGGGAGGCCGAGGCAGGTGAATCATGAGTTCAGGAGATTGAGACCATCCTGGCTAACACGGTGAAACCCCGTCTCTACTAAAAATACAAAAAATTAGCCAGGCGTGGTGATGGGCGCCTGTAGCCCCAGCTACTTGGGAGGCCGAGGCAGGAGAATGGCGTGAACCCAGGAAGCGGAGCTTGTAGTGAGCCGAGATTGTGCCACTGCACTCCAGCCTGGGCGACAGAGCGAGACTCCGTCTCAAAAAAAAAAAAAAAAATTTTTGTTATGGTGTGTTTTATGGCTCAGAATGTGGTCCATCTTGGTGAATGCTTTATGTGAATTTTTTTTTTTTGGATGAAGTAACTGTAGATGTCTGTCATACCAAGTTGATTGATGGTGGCGTTGAGCTGAACTGCATCCTTACTGGTTTTCTGACTGCTGCATCTGTCCTTGTAGAATGGTATTGAGGTCTCCAGCTATGATAGTGTATTTATCTATTTCTTCTTGCAGTTCTGTCAGCTTTTGTTTTTATATTTTGATTCTCTGTTCTTAGCTATATAAATGTTTAGGATTGTTATGTCTCCTTAGAGAATCAGCTCCTTTGTTGTTATGTAATGCCCCTCTTTAATCCCAGTTACTTTCCTTGCTTTGAAGTCTACTCTGTCTGTCTGAAATTAATATAGTTACTCCCACTCTCTTTTGATTGGTGTTGGTATATCTTTCTCCATTCATTTACTTTTAATCTACATGTGTCTTTTTATGTAAGGTGGGTTTCTTGTAGATAACATAAAATTAGCTCTTGTTTTTTGATCATCTCTGACATCTCTTTCTTCTAATTGGTATCTTTAGAACACTGACGTTCCGAGGGATAATTGATTTAGATGAATTAATATCTATTGTATTTGATACTGTTTTCTATTTGTTGCTCTATTTGTTCCTATTTTTGTTTTCTACTCTTCTTTTTGTCTTTTATGCTTTTATTGAGCATTTTATATGATTTCATTTTCTCACCTTTCTTAGCATATCAATTGTACTTTTTTTTAAACTTTTTTTTGAGTAGTTGCCCTACAGTTTGCAATATGCATTTACAATGAATCCCAAGCCCACTTTCAAGTAATACTGTATCACTTCTCAGGTAGTTTATCTTATACAAGCAAAATAATCCTAATTTCTTTCTCCCATCTCCAGTATCATTGTTGTCCTTAATTTCATTTACATATACTATCATACATATTAAATATGCACATTATACGCACACCACCCCCACACACACACACCCACACACACACATATAAGCATACATAATCAAGGAGTGGCCACTTCTAAAGTGTTTACATATATGTAGAACCAGAAACCAGCAGTCCTTTTATTTATTTTGAGTTCTATTCCAGATTTTTCCAGTGGAAATACATATTTGGAGTGAGAAACATTATAACAATAGCATGTTTTTATAAAATAGGCTTTTATAAGTTATTTGAAAGAGTTAGCAACTACTATCTAATAATATAAGTTCCTCTAGAGCCCAGTAAAGATATCTGTGTTTGAAAATAGCAAATTGAACCACCAAAATAAATAATACAGGATTTTGTTTTTCAAAGTGAAAGGGACTTTATAGAATTCTGCAGCTCATTCCTGTGGTCAAGGTCAGATGCCATCAGGGAGCCAGCAGCAGTGTAGTGCTTCGATCATTTGGATTTGCATCCAGATCGGAATCTTTTGACAGTCAGAGCCTCTGACCTTGGCAAGTTAGTCACTCAACCCAGTTTGTTCTTTTTAGAACAGATATGGTAGTGTCTATCCCACAGTGTCATTCTGAGGATCAACTGCTGTAATTTATGTGTAGTCACTTGGTAAATTGTGAAGTACTTGCTCTTATTTTAAGTGGAACCACAACTGGCAGCACGGACTTTGAATGTCTTCTGTTCCTATTAGATGACTTTCTATCACACTTTCTAAGAAATATGTTTAAGCTTCTTGGATCTTCCTTCAGTGCTTTCTATACCTTCCTTTGCAATATAGGTTCTTAAATGTGAAGTAGAATTGATGGCCAGGATGGCAAAAACCATTGACAGCTTCACTCAGAATCAGACAAGGCTGGTCGTCATCATCGATGGATTAGATGCCTGTGAACAGGACAAAGTCCTTCAGATGCTGGACACTGTATGTTTGCGCCACCTCAAAAGTCGCTGTTGTTATGTTGTGGCACTTGAGAGAATGTGTGACTTCACAAATATCTAAAAATAGAATGGAATTGGTTTTTATTTGAGTAGTTCCTATTCATTTTGTGATTTTTCTTTTGTAAAATCAACCATTCTTTATGCAGAAACATAGAAAGAATAAATGTTTAGTCACAAAGAGATTTAAATAATTTTAGCTTAATGGCACTGTGAGAAAAAAATGAATAGAGCATCTCTTAAGTCTGCAGTGTGGCTCAAGCTTTTCTTTGCAGGTAGTTATGGTTAGAATCCAAGATAACACAGGAAGCCCACAGAATTTGTAGCTTTTTTTTAATTAAAGCAAGTACATCAGTGGGGCTCTCTGTAAGGTATGTTATGAGCAATAGTGGTTTGACTTTGGGCAGAGACCAGTGTGCCCAGTACCTCATGTGTATTCATGAATGTTTCTCATGTGTGTTGATTTATCTCTTTAGCAGACTGTAAATGTCAAAAAGAAGGACAATATAAATTTTCTTTGCAGATTTTATCCATGTTAGATGACAACAAACCTAGACTGAGCTGTCAATAAACTTTGCTTCTGTACAGAATAAGTTTTGATGAACAAGAAATAGTAGTTTAGAAATAGAGTCACCAAAAGATAGCACATATTTTGAAGAGATGCCTTATTCTTTTGGACAATTAAAATGTGTGTCACAGCTGTACATGTCTTCTACCACAGGTCCGAGTTCTGTTTTCAAAAGGCCCTTTCATTGCCATTTTTGCAAGTGATCCACATATTATCATAAAGGCAATTAACCAGAACCTCAATAGTGTGCTTCGGGATTCGAATATAAATGGCCATGACTACATGCGCAACATAGTGCATTTGCCTGTGTTCCTTAATAGTCGTGGACTGAGCAATGCAAGAAAATTTCTCGTCACTTCAGCAACAAATGGGGACGTTCCATGCTCAGATACTACAGGTAAAGCTCAGGCTCCTGAAGTACTTTGAGTTTGAAATAGTTTTGTTGTTTCTTTATGGCGACTCTCTTTTTTACCTTGAAAAGTGTTGTTATTTCACATTTCTTTAAATATCATATACAACAGAATTTTGGTGTAAGTGATGCTGTCTTGATAAATTCTTTAAGGGATACAGGAAGATGCTGACAGAAGAGTTTCACAGAACAGCCTTGGGGAGATGACAAAACTTGGTAGCAAGACAGCTCTCAATAGACGGGTAAGATGCCATTGGTTTCAGTCTTTATGTTTGTATTGCTATTTATTTGAATACAAATAAAATTAAGATGATGCCACTTAAATAATATTTTGTAAATATTGCATTAAGCTCTTCAAATAAACATTATCATTGAATTCCCTTTCAGCTTCATGTGTTTCAGGGAATGTCCGCACCTAGAACCCTAACAACTGTACTTCGTATAGGGGTCCCAACCTGTTCTCAGCCCAGGTGCTGCTCCTGATCCCTCAGATCTTAAAGCTTGCCAAATGATTTCATCCAGGGTTGAGAACCACTGTATTCATTCCTGGGCAGGTTGAGCTGTGCCTGTTGCTACCATAGCAGTAGGGGAGAAAGGTTTGTAGTGTGAGAAAACTCCTGGCTTTGTCTTCCTGTTGGCCGTCCTTCCCTAAATGCTTGTGGGATGCTCCCTCTTTGTTCTCTACCACACAGTGACTTGTGTCCTTCCCAGCCACTGGGGGTTTCTCCTTCAACACACTGGTTTCCCTGACCTCCCCATCTTGTTTGTATGGGACGAGGGCATGTTCTCTGTATATGTCTGTATGCATATGACAGGGAGAAAATCACTTGCAGGGCAGTTGTGACAGTGCCACTCACACTCAGTGAAGTTGAGCTACTATTGGCCTTGTGTTTTTTTCTGATTTGCTACCATTAAGTTTGAATGTTTTACTTTAAAAAAAAAAAGTCTTCAGTGACATTTTGATTTTATGCCTCTACCCTTTACAGATATGGATGCAAAGTTAATATGATGAATGACAATTGACAGCACTAAATTCAGAGGCATATATAACTTATCATTTTTAATTTCTTGCCTGGCATCCTTGGGTGCCACATGGTTGCATCCATCCTTCCCGTGCATCAGGACCTTAGACAAGAGCACACCTTGGTTGTACCTGTTCCTCCTCTTATGAGATGGAATTCCTTTAGCCCATCCACCCTGTAGAGTGCCTTTCGTTCATATGGAGATGTGAGGATAGTTAGAGAGGCTGTCCCTTTGACACAGTTTTCACATGCTTTAAAATAACCTAAACATCAGGCCAGGTGCAGTGCTCATGCCTGTAATCCTAGCACTTTGGGAGGATGAAGTGAGAGGATCACTTGAGACCAGGAGTTCGATACCAGCCTGGGCAACATAGTCACACCCTCTACATAAAATAGAAATAAAAAAATAGATGGGTGTGGTTGCGCATGCCTGTAGCCCCAACTACTCAGAAGGCTGAGGTGGGAGGATTGCCCAAGCTCAGAACGTCCAGGTGGCCGTGAGCTGTGATTGCCCTACTGTACTCCAGCCTGGGTAGCAGAGAGAGACCCTGTCTAATAATAATAATAATAATAATAATAACCTAAAAATCAAAATGCTGAATCCTTAAAACCAGACAAGGGCTTATTTGCTTTTCTATTTAAGGGTTCCTGTAAATAGCCAGACCCCATGGAGTTTGAATATCATTCTCTTTACACAATTCTGCTTGCTTATAATCTTAAAGGCATTGAGCTTCCTCTAATTGTACCACTGTAACTTAAAATGCATCTGAAGCTAAACTGTAGCATTTCATGCAGTTGCTGTGAATATGACTTTACAATTGCTTTGTGAAGATTCTGCTTCACGGATAATAATTTATTACTGTATGATATTCCTCTTTGACTAAAACTTTGGATTTTTTGTTGTTATAAACATTTATTAACATCTCAGAAAGCCTTAAGTTCCTAGACTGGACACATGGGTTCCTTCTCACTGATGGTGTGCTGTTTCAGGACACTTACCGAAGAAGGCAGATGCAGAGGACCATCACTCGCCAGATGTCCTTTGATCTTACAAAACTGCTGGTTACCGAGGACTGGTTCAGTGACATCAGTCCCCAGACCATGAGAAGATTACTTAATATTGTTTCTGTGACAGGTGACTTTTGTCTCTTATTGTCTATGATCGATAATAAACTTTAACATTCACAAAACCATTTAATTTCAGAAACAAAGGTATGTATTGTGTGTATATGTTTACATTGCTGAATACCGGGTTTATTTGTATTAAGTGCACTTAATGAAGTCAGTTTTAGTTTTGACGATGAAAAGTCAAAACTGATATTATCAACCATCAGCTGTATACCATTATTTTAGAACTTTATGATTTAAAAAATCTTTCACTTAATCTGAAGTTTAATTTTTCTTTTGCTGTAAAGATAATTTCTAATTCGTATTACTGAGTATAAATTAGCTTATAATTTACAATGTTGAAACTCAGATGTTATATGCTATTATTGTTTTAATTTTCAAATGATATTTTTGAATGAAAAATATTGACAATAAAATTGAGGATTATTGCCTGTTCCTGAAGTCCCTGCATGGAAGTCTGCTCCCTGCCTTGTGAATTCCTGCTTGCTCATAGCTTCAGGGCAACCACATCAATACTTGTAAGTTAGTTTGTAAAATATATGTCTCTTTGCAAGGTATTGATTGGTACTTTGTAATATTTACTAGTGTTAACTCTATTATGATAGTTATACTAGAATTGTGTTTTATATTGTTGGGATTCATGCTGTGAATTGTATTCCAAGTGAGGTTGTATCTAATATACTTACAATATTTTTGGTACTTAAATTCCTTTAAGTGAGTTCTCAAGCCTCACTGTATTTATGTTCAACAATGGGAATGTTTTAGTATGTTATCAACATATATATATTCATTTAACAGATGTGTAGTGAGTGTCTACCTTATGCCAGGTAACATTTCTGTCCTTTGTGGAGATAAGCAGTGAACAAGATAAAGTCTCTGCCCTAATAGAGAAGACCAAAAGATATAACGCCACAGAATGATGTGTGTCGTGCAAACCAGACTGTAAACAGGAGATAGCCCTCCCTCTCACTTGAAAATTACTCCCATCAACACACAGATTGTTTCTCCCTTCCCAAGAAAAGCTGCTCTTGACCGCACCTCTACCTCTAGCTACTACCCCATTTCTCAGCGAAGCTCCTCAAAAGCCTTGCCTGTCCCTGTGTCTCATATTCATCTCCCTCTGTTTTCTCTAACCTATTCCAATAATCTCTTGCTCTTGGTTCAGTAAAACTGCATTTTCAAGGTCACCAGTGGCTTCTGTGTTATAAAATTCAGTGGTCAGGCCAGCACACATCTTATTTGACCCCATTAGTGGCGTTTGACAGTGTGTTGATCACTCTTCCTCTTTGAAAAACTTTTCTTCCTTTGGCTTCCAGAATGCCACCCCGACTGGATTTCCTCCTTCTGCACTGGTGGTGAGTCTTCATCTCCCTTTCCCATTTAGCATTGCAGTGCTCTTGGGTGCGTTTCTTGGAGTTCTCCTTTTCTATCTAGACCTGCTACCTGGTGATCACATTTACTCTGAAAGGCTTAAATGCCATCTATATGCCAACGACTCTCAAATATGTATCTTCAGCCCTATAGCTCTTCAGTTGCTTGTTTGACATCTAATGGTGTCAACATATATCTGACACATAATGTGTCTACAATTGAACTTTTGATTCTCTGACTCAAACTTCATCCATCCATGTCTTTGCTGTCTATTAATCCAACTCTTCCAGTTCCTTCAGTAAGAAAATCTTGATCTTTCTTTCATATACCACCACCAATCTACTAGTAAATTCTGTAGCGCTGTCTTCAGTCTACTTCCAAAATATAAGCACTGTTCACCATTTCTAGCATACCACCCTCATCAGATGCATTTTCGTGTTCTACCTTTATTAATTATGGAAATAGTCTGACTGGTCTCTACTCCTGTCTTTTTCTCTCTACAGCCTATTCTCCATACGGCAGCCACAGTGATTCTTTTAAAATAGAAGCCAGTCATGTTATGTCTCTGCTCAGAACTCCGTAATGTGTCCTCATTTCACTGAAAATAAAAATCTAAGTCCTTATAGTTTCCTACAAAGCCCTTTTGATCTGCCTTTCTGCGTCTCCTTCCCCCTTCTGACCTCATCTCCCACCATTCTCCTCCTCCATCCCTTACTGACTTCTTTGCTGTTCCTTGAAAATGTCAGACATGCTCCCATCAAAAGGCTCCTGCGATTGCTATTTCTTCTGCCTGTACAGATTGTTCTTTGGATATATGCATCATGGGGTTTCTCACTTCCTTTTAAGTCTTTGCTTAAATGTCAGCTTTTCTACAAGATTTTCCCTCACCATCTTGTATAAAATGACATCTTCTTCGGTATGCCTTGTGTTACCCTTCCCTGCTTTACTCAACATAAAAAAATCACCTCTAATTCACTACATCATTTACTTTTTTGTTTGTTTGTTTCTTTGGTTTTTGTCTGTCTCCCCTCAGTAGAATTTCAAATCCACCTGGCAAAGGTTTTCTATCTGTCTACTTTTCTTTTTTTTTTTTTTTTTTTTTTGAGACACAGTCTCGCCCTGTCGCCCAGACTGGAGTGCAGTGGCGTGATCTCAGCTCACTGCAACCTCCGCCTCCCAGGTTCAAGCGATTCTCCTGCGCCAGCCTCCCAAGTAGCTGGGATTACAGGCACGTGCCAGCACGCCTGTATAATTTTTGTATTTTTAGTAGAGACGGGGTTTCTCCTTGTTGGTCAGTCTGGTCTCGAACTCCTGATCTGCACACCTCGGCCTCCCAAAGTGCTGGGATTACAGGCGTGAGCCACTGCGCCCGGCCTTCTATCTATCTTTCTTATTTCTGTTTTCTCAGCACCCAGAACAATGTCTGGGATGCTGTTGTTGAATGACTAAGAGACCTGAATGAAGTAGGAACTGAGTTTTATATCTGTCTTGAGAAAAGCATCTTAACAAGAGGAAGAGCAAGTGTGGAGGCTCTGCGGTGGAAATCCAGGAACAGCTGGAGGCCAGTGTGGTTGCACTTTGGGGATCAAAAGAGAATGGTGGGAAGTGATGTCAAAGAACTAGCCACTGGCCGGTTGTGCTGGCTCACGCCTCTAATCTCAGCACTTTGGGAGGCTGAGGCAGGTGGATTACTTGAGGTCAGGAGTTCAAGACCAGCCTGGCCAACATGATGAAACCCCATCTCTACTAAAAATACAAAAATTAGCAGGCAAGGTGGTACACACCTGTAATCCCAGCTACTCAGGAGGCTGAGGAAGGAGAATTGCTTGAAATCAGGAGGCAGAGTTTGCAGTGAGCCGAGACTGCACCACTGCACTCTAACCTGAGTGACAGAGTGAGACTCCATCTTAAAAAAAAACAAAAAGACAAAAACAACTAGCCCCCCTGGGTAGTTCACTTTGAGCCTTACAGGCCCCAAATCCATAGAAAGGATTTTGGATTATATTTAGACATTTTCAGACACTCTAAAGAGGACCAAGTTAACATCATTTAATAGTTGATACTGAGATACACATTTTTAAAAATAATGATGTTTACACATTTCAGAATAGAAAGAAAATATCTTCCTAAAGCCACATTTCAAATGTAAGAATTTTTCTAATATTAGTCTTTGACTATACAGTAGACTTTCTAATTGTTAAATGAGAGATATTTGTCTTTTATGTCTCATCAAATGTAGCTCTGCCCATGAAAAATTTCTAAGTAAAATTTTTGTTTTATAAAAGCCCCTAATGCCATTAGTTTCATTGCTTAAAAGTGCTGTGTTGAAAAATAATACACAGATTTAAATCTGTGTATTTTAATGAAATTTTGATTTTTTTTTGGTGATGTTTTCCATTTCGTTGGATAACATTAGTTGGAAGTGTGTAGGGAAATATATTTTATTGGAAAAGATAGAATTTGAAGGCAAAAGACTTGGGTTTGAGTCCTGGGCATGTTACTTAGCCTCTTGAATCCCCAATTCTCATGTGTGCAAAAGTGTATGTTACCCGCTGAACACCATGCAAATAGTTGTTGCTATTAGGAAAGTCATGCAATAGAGAGATTAATACCCGGAAAGAATTCAAGGTTTTAGCAGATAAATATTGGCAAGTATTTAGTTGAGTGGTTTCCTAATTAAAAATTGTGCTTTATCAAATATACTTTATTTCAAACTTGTTTTGTTGGATTGTTTTGGAAGATAAGATTAAAAAATTATCTTAGACATATTCATTGTTCAGAATTTTCTTTTGATATTGCTTTATTTTTTAGCTAATTACAGGCTAGATATATTCTTAGGATAGAATATTTAATTTTAGTCACTCATTATAGGCTAGATATATTCTTAGGATAGAATATTTATTTTTATTCACTCATACTTTTTTTTTTTTTGAGATAGTCTCGCTCTGTCCACCAGGCTGGAGTGTGGTGGTGTGATCTTGGCTCACTGTAACCTCCACCTCCCAGGTTCAAGTGATTCTTCTGCCTCAGCCTCTCGAGTAGCTGGGACTACAGCCACCTGCCACCATGCTTGGCTAATTTTTGTATTTTCAGTAGAGGCAGGATTTCACCATATTGGCCAGGCTGTTTCTTGAACTCCTGACCTCAAATGATCCTCCCACCTCTGCCTCCGAAAGTGCTGGGATTATAGGTGTGAGCCTCTGCGCCTGGCCTATTCACTCATACTTTTAAAATAGTTTTCCGGTTCTCTCTGTCTACCAGTTCCTTCATGACTTTGCATGCATGCGTGGTGCATTTGCTCTTCCTTTTGTCTGAATGTCCTCACTCTGCGTCCCTTCCCTGCCAGCCCGTGCCTTCCCACCAGACTAACTTGGGTTCATCCTTCATAGCTTAGTTCTAATGGTTGGTTATATTCTTTTTTGTGTGTGTGTCTTTTTCTTTTTAGTGGTTATATTCTTAAGGAAACCTTCCCTTAACTGCCGCTTCTGGATTTGGTGCTCATTTTCTCTTTTCACACAGCACTGTGTGTGTATCTCCAACATAGCCGTATCTCCATCAAATGCTCACATCTTACCTTCCAGGGAAAAGGAATCCAGCCATGAAAATATAAATTCTGTGTATGAGCAGATTTGCTGAGGGAGTGAGGGCCTGGTGATATAGGAAGAATTGGATTGGGGCTTATATAGCTATATATATATCTGTATCTATCTATATATCTATATCTATATGTCTATTAGTAGTAGGGAAAGAAATAACTCATATTGGAACTAAAACAAGTAGGTGTCTTAGTCTACATACAAACAAAATTGATAATGATGAAGTAAAATTGACAGTGTTTGAAAATTTAACAACAGTATCAGCAGCTCAGAATTCCTACCAAATCACGGTGAAACATGATGCAATGAAACACGGCCTCTGTTCTGAAAGTTTGAGGATTGCGACAGTCTACCTGTACAGATGCCTAGTGGTAAAACAGCGAATTAGAGTCCTCAGAAAATCCCAGCAATAGACAAGGTTGTTTTAAAATACATAAATAATAAATACTGGAAACATTACAACTCAGTCGGTAGGTTACTTATATAGATGACCCTTAGTATGTGAAAATGAAAGCGTGTGGGATTGCCCATTCATCTGTAATACAACGAGAATGGACTGGCATATTTGGATCTGTTTATAGTCCATCAGTAGGATCTCAGCAGATGGCACTTTAGAGGACTGGGGTCCATTGTGGATAAATGGATGTTCTGCTCAATGATTGTGGGTGGTGGTGAACTGTGTAACACAGTTCTGAAAGATGTTTGCCTGCATGTATGTGGTCGAAGAAGTATATCTCACCAGTGGCAAATCAACCAACCAAAAATTGCTTTAGAATTGAAATTGTGTTTAAGCCCTAAAAGCTTTACTTAGTGCAGCTCTTCTAAAATGAAGCCGTGGCAGTACTAGATTTGAATTTGTAGTATAAATTAAATGGTAAATTTTAGAAATTTAAAATATTTGAGAATATACTACCTGTTTTACTTAACATACTATTACACATCTGTTAATTTAAAAATGTTTTTGTATTTTTTTAAAAGGTCGATTACTGAGAGCCAATCAGATTAGTTTCAACTGGGACAGGCTTGCTAGCTGGATCAACCTCACTGAGCAGTGGCCATACCGGACTTCATGGCTCATATTATATTTGGAAGAGACTGAAGGTATTCCAGATCAAATGACATTAAAAACAATCTACGAAAGGTACCTTTTTTTACCTCTTTATATTTTACTTTACTTTAGATTGAGTTAAAAAAAAAACACGTATAAAGCAGACAATACAAAATAATATGTATAAAATATATACTTCTGGATTTAATCATTCTTATTAATTCCATTATAATTTTGGAGTTGTATTAGCACAGGCATGTATCCCATCATGTAAAAATCTATGACTTTATTTGTACATGCTTTTCCTTTTTCAGATATATAAAGTTTATTTAAAAAATTTTTAAATTTTTTAGAAACAGGATCTCTCTCTGTCACCCAGGTTGGAGCACAGTGGCATAATCATAGCTCACTGTAGCCTCAAACTCCTGGACTCAAGTCATCCTCCCATCTCAGCCTCCCAAGTAGCTGGGACTGTAGGTGTGCACCAAGATGCCTGGCTCTTTCTTTTTATTTATTTATTTATTTATTTTATTTTATTTTTTGAGACAGAGTCTCGCTCTGTCACCCAGGCTGGAGTGCAGTGGCCACATCTCAGCTCACTGCAAGCTCCGCCTCCTGGGTTTACGCCATTCTCCTGCCTCAGCCTCCCGAGTAGCTGGGACTACAGGCGCCTGTCACCTCGTCCGGCTAGTTTTTTGTATTTTTTAGTAGAGACGGGGTTTCACTGTGGTAGCCAGGATGATCTTGTGATCCGCCCGTCTCGGCCTCCCAAGGTGCTGGGATTACAGGCTTGAGCCACCGCGCCTGGCCTTTCTTTTTATTTTTTGTAGAGGCAGGGACTTGCAGTGTTGCCCAGGCTGGTCTTAAACTCCTGGGCTCAAGCAGTTCTCCTGTCTTGGCCTCCCAAAGTGCTGGGATTACAGGCGTGAACCACTGTGCCCATCCTTAGTGTATAGTTTATATATTAAAACTTCTAAGATTTCAGATAACTTTTATTTCCTTAGAGTATTGTCAGTATGTGGTTTTCTTATTTTTCTAGTTCCTATTTTTTATGTACACATTTAATGTTTTCTAAGTAAATAACTGGTTTTAGAATTATAGAGGTTGTTGTATTAGTCCACAGATTTGAGCTCTTCTGGGTTTTGCTGTTTAATTTATGTGAAATTAGTTTAGTGGTTTAAACCTGTGCTGTATCAAGTAGGTGTTCCAGTAGATGCAGTGATATATAATTACCGTCTGCCTATTGAGAAGTGGTACTGCATTGCATCTGGTCTTTGAGGTTTTACAAATCATCTTATTGTGAGATGCATGATTCGTTTTTCTCTTGGTTCTGTAGTACAATATTTTTTTGTACATACATGGTTTTATTTTGTGAATAAATGTTTGTATTATAATACAGGTACTATATAATTATGAATGCTTGCTAGTAACAGTAATTACTAAGCGGTTAAAACTTAACTTTTAAAAAGATTTAAGTGCTTCATAATAATTCATACCAATATAATTAGGTTTATTTTTTGCATGTTATATTGATACATAAAGCCCTATTTAATATAAATAGGTAATCCCTTGACACTCTCATCTGTCCTTGAGATTGTTGTTGTTATCATTTGTGTGAAATTAAAATATGTCATAAAAAAGAATAAGCCTTCGTTTAGGAACTGTGGACTGATGGCTTAAGAAACAGTAATGGAAGGAATTTGCAGCTGCTTCAGATTCTTAGACCCTGTCTGAATTGGTATTGTTTAGGAGAAGTATATTACTCCAGGAATGTATTTCTAGATTTCAAGAAATTTGGAAACTTGGGCACAGGAGAACTAGTTGTCTCGCATGGGTTCTTACTTAAGGAGGTTGGGTCACTTAGTGTTCCTGACCTCCTTCTTTCCCATCAGGTGCTCTGCTAGGTGCCTTATGTATTCTTGAAGCTTTGGAAAGTGTGGAGGTGTTAGACGGGGATAGAATGAGGGATGTAAACTTTGCCATTAAACCAACTCATTACTTTAAACTTCGGCATTTTGGCAGGCTTGTCATCTGTGACTGGGCTGGATTTGGGGTGATTTTGAGATGCCGTTCTTCTCTTTTTGGTGAAATAAGTACATTTAAGTCTTAAATGCCTGCAACTACTTACAAAGAATATTTTGTAGCTAGTCTAAGGAAGAGAAAAAGTATAGTAAGCAGTCTTTGATAATTCGTAGGAATTGACTTAAAATAATTACATATAATAAGGATTTGGAATGAAAAACTATAGGAAGACACTTTGATCAACATATTGAAAAGCCAGATATTAAAGTATGTGAGAATAATCTAGATGATTATGTTTCTAGTTAACTGTAGTTGAGTTCTTTGATGCTATTGCTTGTCATTTGAAAGAGAAAATTTTATTTACAGTCGACAAAAAGCAGCAGTATGTAATTGATATTCATTTATTGTATTAAAGAAATCTGATTTGGTAAAAACAATCAGAAAATAGTATTTTTAATGCTAGTAGTGAAATTTATTTTTTTAATCCATAAAAAGCCTCATTTATTTTTATAGCAATTTGATGACACATCTACTGGCTTTATTCAGGTGAAAAAGAAAATGTTGGTTCTTGGTGTTTGGTGAAATTGCGTTGTTAAATTATTTTTTAAATTGTTCAACTTTTAACAAATGACATTTGATACTAACACTGGAAAGCAATTTCAGCGAATTAAATAGACCCCTCTGTAAACCACAGGAACATTAAGATGACACACTGTTCATTCAAGATGGTTTTAATTGGTACAATTATTGTAATTTTCTTGCAATTATGTGTTGAGCTGAAAGCTTTTGTCTGGATCATTTGAGAGTTTTTTTTTTTTTTAACATACGTTTAGTAAGAAAGGGAGTAAAATAAAAACTAAAAATTTTCTGTCTAGTTTTTATTGCAGCATTTTAGGCAACCATTGAAATATTTTAGTCTAAAACTTTATTTCTGGCATTTAAAGCAGAATGATAGTGGTTTTTAAAAAAATGAATTTAAGTAGTTTTCATGAAGATAGTGTTTTAAATTTCTGTTTTGACACTGCTCAGTCAATCTTTTACCCAGGATGATATGGTCAGAATAATTTTGCAATAAAGATAACAACATTCTTTATTTTAGTACTTTATTTTGATGTTTAAAGAACAGTTGAATAAGTTCTAAGGGTGCTTCAGAATGGTAGCCATTTTCCGTTTCATTGAAATAGCAGTTTGCTATAGACACTATGGACATCTCGTTTATGACCTTAATAGACCTATCTGTTATTTTTAAATTATTCAAGTAATGGTGTTTCTATACATTATTTAGGGCATTCTCATAATAAAATGTCATATTTTATAATCCCTCCTGATACCCAAAACTTTCATAAGCTTCATTTTATCACATCTAGTCATCTCATACCTCTTGTAGCTCTCACTAACCTGCTTGCTGTCTCCATCATTTTCTGGGTGATGATCAGCTCTCCTTCCCTCTCTTCCCCGCCATCATTTGGCCTGGATTATGCACAGGCTTGTTTTGCATGTGGACTTAAGTTATGAATGTGGATAGCATGAAAAATTTAACATTAGTTAGTTTAGAGGAAGTTGTCGCTTCATCTCCTTTGTAGTACAAAGTCCATCCTTTGTACTGATAATTTTTCTCTTTAGTTTTTAAGATACTAGCAATATTTTTTCCAAAAACTGTTTTGGTGTTTTTTATATATAGCTTAGAATCTTAATGAAATTCTTTGTTTTTGATACATTACTTATCTGTAGGTATTGGTGTTGGCATTCAAAATTTATTAAATTACTATCTTTTATATAATTATTGTTTCCATCTTTATTCTCAAAACACACTTGCTTTGACTGCAGAGGTTCAATATTTTATCCATCTCTTTATCTTTTTAAAGAGACAGCCTGATCTAGTTATTTGCAAAATTACAAGATAATTCCCCATATAGGAGAGGAAACTTAAGCAGGTTTTTACTGAAATAAAGATTGTGTCATCTATAATAGAAATCATATTTTATCTGGACAGAAATAAATGAGATTTGTATATTTGCCAAGTTCAGTGTGAAGAGTGAGCCTGCAGACCTTGTATAAAGATGCCCATAATCAGATGTAATGTTGACCATTCAGTGTGCATTTCTGGATTGGCATTATTTTTCTCCAAGTCTTTGTGAAAATTGGACAATTCAGATTTCTAAAAATAAAGGTGAAGGGCATAATTTTTTAGCTTATTTTGACGTATCTGTAAATCATGCCTACTTTCATTGTTTGGAGAAAACAGTGAAATGCATTAAAGTAGACGTGTTTGGCTTTTTTTTAGTTTACCTATTTGTGTATTTTGCTACTTATTTATTTTGTTGTTGTTACTAGACTTCTAGCAACATCCAAAGATGTGAGAGAAATTAAGGGGAGAAAGCTTAAAATTCATTCATTTATTCAGAAAACACTTACTGGACACCTATTATGGACCAGGCACAGTTCTAAGAGCTTGGGTGTATCCATGAACAAAACCAGCAAAGATCCCTGCCCCGAGGAGCTTGCAGTCTGTCAGAGAGTGATAGGTAATAAACAACATATATAATACATAATTAGCATGTTAAAAGGCAACAAGTGTGGAGGAAAGGATAAAAGGTAGAAGAGAGTTAAGGAGATGAAGAGTAGTGCAGGTTCTGCATTAAGTAAGGGGATCAGGATTGTCCTCATGGAGAAGGGAAGAGTTGAGGAAGGGTTGAAGGAGGCAAGAGAGTTTTCCAGGCAGGTATCTGAGAAAGCATTTCCAGGCAGAGGGAACAGTTCCGGGCCAGAGAGCACCTGGAATCAGTGTTGAAGGAACAGCAACAAGGGAGCTGATGTGGTGAGATGGGGTGCAGTGAAGCGAGTGAGTAGGAGGTCAGGTCAGGTCACCAGTGGGGTTCATGGACCCCTTTTGGAGGACTGTGGTAAGGACTTTGGCTTTTACCCTGAGTAAGATGGGGATTCATTGCAGGGTCTTGAAAAATTTGTAGCCATTATCCTGATGCTTCAGGGCCTATTTGCTGTGTCAGTGCAGCTTGGCCTGAGTTAGGGAATCCTGTTGATTTTAAGGAGCTTATTTTGAGACTGTCACA